TAAGTGACTTCAGTTGGGGCTTAAAGGTAACTGACAGCGTTCTCTGGTCAACAGCTGACCATGGAGGTGGACGGGAAGACGGAGAGCATCATGAAGAGAACAGCACTTGTGGCCAACACCTCCAACATGCCTGTAGCTGCCAGAGAGGCCTCCATCTACACAGGTAATTGTTCATCACGTATGAGTCGTTGTATCAAAGTACTCAGGGTGCCGCCTCCGATCAGTCACAGAAAAATGAAGTACAACAGGTAAACAGTGAAAACAATCACAAGCTTTGCTTAAATGATGACTCATTCATTTTTCTTTTGTGACTTTTGTTGCCTATAATTAGCTACACAAGGAATTGAGTCTAACTTAGTTTGTTTTGGCAGGAATCACACTGTCGGAGTACTTCAGAGACATGGGATACAATGTGAGCATGATGGCCGACTCCACCTCCCGTTGGGCCGAGGCTCTCAGGGAGATTTCTGGCCGTCTGGCTGAGATGCCTGCTGGTAAGTTTGAGATCTCCTGGAGATTACAGTGGGACCTAAAGTCAGAACCAAGCATCTGCACTGCATTTCTGGCATTAGCTTTTAGGAAAACAGCAACTGTTGCTGTTTGCAAGTTTACTTTTCTTCTCAAGGCGACAGTTAGACTGTTTTAAACTTCACATGGGATAAAGACAAATGAGAAATGAATCTGACAAGTTTCTGTGGTATAAAAAAAAAAAGAAGTGAGAATAAATATGTGGCTGTTCTCTTTTCTTCCTTTGACGTCTTATATGATTATCACAGGAAACATGTTTTTCCTCGGTTGAATTACAGAACTGGGGGGATTTTGGTTATGATGCAAAACCTTCTGTGACAGTTCGTAGCACATTTTCTTTCACAAATTGCCAAAGTCACCAAATGGCGCACCAACTGTTCACCCATAAACTCTGAATAAAATTGGTTTGTGTTGATTAGAAGAAACCATAATACTTGTATAATTACTCTTAAATTTAACAATACATTGAGTTTAGAAAAGTAAGACAGATGGCGTAGCAGCTGAATGCACCACCCAGCTCCTATTTGAATATTTTTTCAGCTTGAATTTCTATCAATGACGAGCTACTACACACTTATTTTGAAGTCAGTGTGGAGGTTCAGTGTTCAATACTCTCATCTCTTGAATGAAATACACTCAGCTACATGCTTTTCCTGTACCAACCCACAGACAGCGGTTATCCTGCCTACCTGGGCGCCCGTCTCGCCTCCTTCTACGAGCGTGCTGGACGAGTGAAATGTCTGGGCAACCCTGAGAGGGAGGGCAGCGTCAGTATTGTCGGAGCGTGAGTACAGTTTTGCATCACTAGAGGGAGACATTACTCCACACATCTTTTATAAAAATCTTTCATGAAAGTGGAATAAACAGCAGCAGGTAAATGAAAATGTTGCTTCTTTCCTCAGTGTATCACCTCCTGGTGGCGATTTCTCTGACCCTGTGACTTCAGCCACACTTGGTATTGTTCAGGTAAATGCTCAAAGTCGGATCCCACTGTCTCCCTAAATAATTAGATAAGCTTTACGAAGCGCTGGTCTTTATTATTCACCTGGTATGTCCTCTGTCAGGTGTTCTGGGGTCTGGATAAGAAGCTGGCTCAGAGGAAACACTTCCCCTCCGTCAACTGGCTCATCAGCTACAGCAAGTACACTCGTGCGCTGGATGAATATTACGACAAACACTTCCCAGAGTTTGTGCCCCTGCGTACCAAGGCGAAGGAGATCCTGCAGGAGGAAGAGGACCTGGCTGAGATCGTGCAGCTCGTCGGAAAGGTAATTCAGCATGAAGGTGGCGGTAGTGGTTTGATCTTTGCTTCAAAGTTAGAAACTCATGCTGCAAAAAAGTCTCATACTCATATATTCCGTTTCTGCTTGTTCCAGCACTTCACGAAAGTCGCATCACATTTTGCATAGATAAATTAATAATGCAATTCTGTCACTTTAAAGGCTTCACTGGCAGAAACTGATAAAATCACTCTGGAGGTGGCCAAAATGATCAAAGACGACTTCCTGCAGCAGAACGGCTATACTCCTTATGACAGGTAAAGTTACTGCCTAAGTGACACGAACTCACTTGTGCTGGTCAGAGTTCAGATAGGTGTCATGCAGAGAAAGTGAAACTCCACCGTCGGGTACTTTCTGTGCAAATAAATCTGATTCAAAATCCTTGAAAGAAGTTCTAACCTAACATCTGACTTTTTGTTGTCCATCTCTCCAGGTTTTGTCCTTTCTACAAGACGGTAGGCATTCTCTCCAACATGATAGCGTTCTACGACATGGCGCGGCACGCGGTGGAGACCACAGCTCAGAGCGACAACAAGATCACCTGGGCCATGATCAGGGAGCACATGGGAGAAATCCTCTACAGGATCACCTCCATGAAATTCAAGGTGTGTATAGTGTGTTGCTGCAGTAGCTTCCATGTGTCTCTTCTGGCGATTTATTTATTTATTTTTATGATGAATTTTTAACTTTTTCCACTATGAAATATGAATAATAGTTTTGAAGCCCAAGGATAAAAATGAAGAGAAATTTCTTTTATTGAGTTTGAAGCAACCATCACTGTGCAAGATGAAAAAGTCAAGAAGAATTGAATATTTTGTTCAATTATACATTTTGGTTCTGTCTGACTTTTGCTTTATCTTCATCTTGTAATCTTATTTTATGAAGTTGGTCTGTGGAGTCATAAGGAGTCAATAGATGGACTATAGCTTCAAGGAATCCTTTTGGTTTTCTCAGGTTTTGTTTGCCACAGTGTATTTTCTGCACTTTAAAGCTCTGATTCATGACTATTTTTCATCTCAATTCACTTGCTGATCATTCTGTAAGTTTATTGTTAAGTTGGTGAAATCTCAAAAAGAAACTGAAAAAAATCCTTGAGTGGATTTCGAAAAAGTTCAACATGACTTCAGATGTCTTGTTTGGTCAGAAACATCAGCCAAAAACTTTAGAAAAGTTCGAAAGGCAGCACACAACCAAAGAAAATGTTTGGCATCTTTTTACAGCAAGATGAATAAAGTAATAATTTGTCAAACTAGTTGCTGATTATTTTTGTCTGTCTGCTAACTGATTGACTAGTTGTCTGATGTGTATGTGAATATTAAAAAATCCTAATTGGGTTGTCCCTGAATTCATGTTAAATCGATCAACTGTGCACAATCTGCTCAGGCATCTTGTTTTCTGTTCTCACTGTGACACCGTATTTCTGTGTCCATGCAGGACCCAGTGAAGGACGGCGAGGCCAAGATAAAGGGCGAGTACGCACAGCTGCTGGAGGACATGCAGAACGGCTTCCGTACGTTGGAGGAATGAGCTGCCGCCTCTCACAACCTTCCCAGTTTTCATCTCCGACCCCTCCACTGCAGAATCACATTCCGCCTCCTCGTATTCCCCCCCGAAACCCGTGTGCTCCTCTGTGCTCCTTTTTGTGGGTGACTGTGTGAGAGTGTGTGCACAATTTCATGTGGAGGGAAAAGAGAAAGATGTACTGTATTCATTATCATTTGTTGCCTCATATCGGCGTACTCTGGATCCTCTGCATGGTCACCGATCGCGTGCGTGAGTCAATCGTGTGTGTGTGTGAAAGAGGGATCTCTTCGCCCTGTTTCTTCCTTTCTCTGTTTACATGATTTCTGTGTGTGTAACCGTGTTGCTCTTCTTGAAGAGGATTGTTCGGTTGATGTAATGTAATTCATAGACCATCTGTACAGAAGAGTATTGAATATAAATTTAATAAGAATCAGTCTATTTATTGCCAGCATTTTGACGTGAAAGCTTTGTTGTTCTTTCTTTTTGTTTTTATGGTTGTTTCTCGCTGTGCAGTGTTGTGTACTTTGCTGTGTGAATGTGTAAAAGTCGGACTCTGGCACTCTGCTGTCCAATACTTTCATCATGTGACTCCCAAAGAATTAAAATGTGGGGAAAAAAACAATCATGTGCGTGTTGGTTTGTTTGATGATGCTGCTGAACTGGTCTCTCCACATACCACTCATGCTCTGGAATCTTCTATACTCTGCCCTTAGGCTGCTTTGGCTTTAAGCAATGAGCTAAATTTAGTGCAATTAACCAATGAAAGTAGTTTAAAATCATTTTTTAATGACGGGACTCAGCAGGCTCATTTGGCTGTAATTGGAACCAACGTGTCCCCTGGAAGACACTGAAGGGAGAGGTCATTTTGGAGCCTTTAACTAGTTATGTGAAGGCCAATGAGCGTCACAAATGAGGTGACGACTCCCTTAAGGTATGCTCCCTTGGCCAAATGAGATGCACCTGCAAAGCGCACATTTAACTCATCAGCAGAGCGTGTGAGCCGTGCGGGACGACGGGCTGTTGTTTTGGCTTTTATTTATCTATTTATTTATTAATTTTAACTCGGTCGTAGACGAATCAGGAACCCTGGGTCCACTCCGTGTCAGGTAAGTGACTGACAAGAGTCTTTTTTTTCACCCCCTCTTACGTCAGTTAAGCCGCATGTGGAGATGTGTAGATTAAAGTCGCTCATGCGCTTTTGGCGCCGTGCGTAAAAATCAGGTATTTAGACGCGCGCTTGATAACAGCCTGCAGCTTTTGAAACAAATGATGTTATCAACTTTGGTTTGTTTGACAGGACTCCATATCAGATAATAGTTCCTACCACTCAACTTAATGTAACTACCAACAGAAATAAAGAGAAGGGGTCGCTGTCCGCCTAAAAAAGTTTCGCGTAATGATTAAATCTGTTCTTTTAACGACACATTTTAACCTCGCAATCTGCTCCAGGTTTCTAGAAGGATAATGACGAGTGCATTTAGGTTTCTGTTCTCTGGCACAATCACACGTCCTCTGAAGTTTCCCAGTCAAACCAGTTCTGCTGCAGCCATAATGCCTTACCTTGTGGTGCTGCTGGATCTCCCTGTTTGACATTTCAATCAGGTTCTTAAACTTAGACTCTCACAAGAGCTATTTGTTTCCTCCTGTTTCTGCTTTTGACACCAGTAAAGATGTGAAATTTTGACAATTAGATTTATGTTTAAAGTGAAGTTTGGACAGCTGAAATGATCCCAGCATGTGTTTCTGTGTGAGCAGTGTGTCAGAGCAAATGGACCAGGTATCCAACCGGTCAGGAGTGGGCAGTGATGACATTACAGATGACACCACATCACTGGCGGATTTCAGGTGGTCCTCTGAGGATGAAGATGTAAGACAGACTACAAACTAAACACCCCCTTTGTCCTTGTTGCTATAAAGCTCCTGATGCTCCAAGAAACTGAACATTGAGCATGCATGTATCCTGTTTTAATCGTGAACTTGAACATCTTTCACTGCCCTCTTGTGGCTCAGCTTCATGACACCATATTTCCACCTTTACACAAGTGGGATTACTGTAACATCTCTGATGCAAAGCCCAAAAGGCTAACAATGATGTTTATCATCTGCTCAGACTCACTAGAGATGTTTATTATTCCATCTCTCCATTGTTTAACTTCTGATCAGAATTGGCAGTTTTGCACAGATTATATTTTAATCTTGTTTTTTGCATGAATGTACATTAACTTTCCAAGTCCTGCATTAACATTTCTGTGTCAGTAATGTCCTCATGTCACCCCTCAGAGCTCTGACTATCAGGCACAGTGTCTGGCGGCACCTCAAACTCCTGTGGCCACCTACAAACAAAGGTTTGAGGAGTTCAGGAAGTTGTTCAAAGAGGTGCCCGAATCCGAGAGACTCATAGTGGGTGAGTTTCATTAAGAAAACCTGAAAATGTTGCATTTCTTTTGCTGATTTCATGTTAGAGATTGTGTCATTCGGAATCTTGTACTGTTCAGGGAGGAAAGGGCTATTTATGAAATCCTTACAGGCAGTTGATCCTCGTACAAGCTACCCACTGTTTATTTGTTTATTTAAAAGGATCCCCATTAGTTGACGCCAAGATGTCAGCTAGTCTTCCTGGAGTCCAGACAGTAAAATATCAAAAACAAGCACGACAGACTCAAGTAAAAATATAACAAAAAACAAAAACACACAACAAAAATAATTGAAATAATAATAGAAATACATAGAAAAATACATAGAAGATATTACATAGAAATATATAAAGAATACATGAATTAATATATAATAGAATAATACATAAAAGATAATAAATTTAAACATAAAAATACATAGAAAAAAAACCCTCACAGTGAGTCATGTCTCAAATAACCCAACCTCACTCAATAATGATGAGCAATAATGTTGAGGTGTTTGTAAATTGTGATTCTCAAAAATCTCAGATGAAGAAAAAAAACATCCCCACATCCTGTTGACTTCTTGTAATTTACCCCAAGACGACCCAAATGTAGATTTGAAGGCTGAATCATTGGTTTTTCACATCACTTGTATATTCTGTATCTTCCTGTCTGAAGCATCAGTATTCTGCTGCAGAACACAAACAGGACCATTAAATCCACTTCGCTCTGTAACTCAACAAAATGCAGCTGTCGTATTTTGGAACCAAACATTTTTGCATTCCATTAAAATAAGCAGCTTTTCAGTTAACCACGACACGGTTACTGCAGTAATGGATCTTGGAGTGGCGAATGGAATGGAGTCTGTGTCGTTGAATAGGTTCAAAAAGAAAACTAAAGTACATCTTATGTAATCGTTTTATCCAGGCTCTGAAGGTAGAGAGAGAACAGTCCTCAGCCAGGTTGTTCAAGTTAAAATTTCATGAGTGTCTGTGCTCACTTTTCTCCATGAAAATCAGCTGTAGAGCTTTTCTCTGCAATATTTAAACTTTATTAAAGCAAGAAAAGCACCTGTGTAGCAAATCAAACGAGTACCAGGAGCCTTATTTGAGTCATTTTTGATAAACCACGTCTATTCTCCTAAAAGAAAAAAAAAAAAAAGTAAAAATTGTGCCCTATGGAAAATCGCAGTTTCAATTATTCTTTCCAATTATGCGTGAAAGAAAAGTTGTTAAATCACACTTGTTACACACTTATTTGTCAGGGTGTTTTACTTTTTTCAGCAGCCATATGTGCTTTTATTTTTCCTCAGACTATCCATGCGCCCTTCAGCGGGACATACTCCTTCAGGGACGCCTCTACCTCTCACAGAGCTGGATCTGTTTCTACAGCAATGTGTTTCGGGGTACAAAGGTAAGAAGACTGTAGGGAGGGGAAGGGGAGGATGTACACTGCAGGAGGAACAGCAAAATGCACAAATGTAGTATAAGATTGTATTTTCATATTGGCTGATAATACGCTATTTTATAGAAAATCTAAAATGACAACACAGTCAAATGTATTATGAAGAATTTGTGTGCCACAGTGATTCCCTTAAAAAGGATAGTTCAGTGTTTAACAGGGTAGAACACACATGGGCCATGTTGTAAAGGGAAAATCCACAGTTTTTAATTTAAAAAATCTTGCATTTCTGAGTTACATTTGTTGCCTGGTAGTGAGGGCTTCCTGGCATAACCTTTTACATGCAACACTTTGCAATTGTTGGCTGCAAGGTGGTGCAGCTGGTAGCACTGTTGCCTCACAGCAAAAAGGTCGCTGGTTAGTGTCCCAGTGGGGGCACCCAGGATCTTTCTGTGGGGAGTTTTGCATGTTCTCCCCGTGCAGCGTGGGTTCTCTCCGGGTTCTCACGTCCAAAAAGGTTAATTGGTGATTCTAAATTGTCCGTAGGTGTGAATGTGAGTGTGCTTGGTTGTCTGTCTCTAAGTGTAGCCCTGTAATAGACTGGTGACCTGTCCAGGGTGTTCTCTGCCTTCACCCTAAGTCAGCTGGGATAGACTCCAGCACCTGTGACCCCAGTGAGGATTAAGCAGTGTATAGATAATGGATGGATGGACTTTGCAATTGTGTGCAACAATTACAAAGACAGCTTAGACATTAACAGGTAAAACAACAGATGCACTAATTGCTACACTTGTGGGTCCTTCAGTCAACCGTATTATAACGCAAGCAGGGCTGATTGTTACAATGCAAAAGAGCTCCAGTGTGCAGGGAGACCTGACAGTGAGATTTCTGTGAAAGCTTTCTTTGGAAAGCGTGCACCGTAACCTTTTCCTTTTTTTTTTTTTTTTGCAGATCACACTGACTCTTAAAGACGTCACAAATATGACGAGGGAGAAAATGGCTCGGCTGATTCCCAACTCCATCCAGATCCACACGAGTACAGAGAAGGTATTTGTGTCGAAGAGCACCAATTAAGAACCTCTTTCACGTCTGATCACTACAAATCAATCTCTTTTTGTATTTTCACTCGCAGTTCTTCTTCACTTCCTTCTCAGCAAGAGAGAAAAGCTACCAGGGTGTTTTCCGAATCTGGCAAAACACACTGATGGACAAGGTAAGGCCCAGCTCCCCTCACTTGGTGTTACCACCGAACACACGTTTGCCAAACTTCACTCCTCGGTACAATGTTCATGCTCCATGTAGGGGTAACTATCACTCAGTCGTCCCTCTTTTAAACCTTTGTCACACATGTAAATTAAAGATCTTCCCACAGGATCATTTCACATCAGTCACAAACAACAGCATAGACTTTTCTGTTACTCTAAACCTTCACTGCTGCACCATGAATCCTCCCAAAACAGCAGCAGGTCTGTGGCTTTAACCTGTTTATTCGCAACACTTATCTCATCAGTCCAGAGTACACGTTCCGCTGCCTCGGCCACAGACCGTCTCACATTGAGGTTATCAGTGCTGCTCTGCTGTATTGCACGTAGGGTAAAGATCTGCATGACATACAACAGCAGGGTTTGCTCACAAGTCCAACAGACACACACTTTTGTTTATTATTCCAAATACTGAGGGTCCCTATTTGGACTTTACATACACTGTAAAAAAAAAAAAAAAAAAAAATCAGTAGTTTTTTCCTTTTTTCATTTTACAGATTTTCTTTTTCTTCGGTATTTTCAAAACGCACAAAATATTAATAAAATTGCAAAAACAGTGAATTCACACATCTCATGTTAGGTAACATTTTAAATCCGTAACTGAATAAACAGAAAGTTTCAATTTCACAAATATTTCTTTTATATTTAACAGATGAAACTAGGAACAAGTTTAGTACTGCAATTATATTTCTAAAATTTGATAAAATTAATGATACAACCAGAAAAACAAATGGTTCTGTAATTTTACATCGATTTGTTTGTTAAATAAGAGAAATGCTGAATTAATGTGTTTTCATCAGTCTATGGTATCTGTAAGCACTGATGATCAGTTACCAAAAAAAATATATAATCATACACAGAGTATAATGTAAATTTATGCTTGGAAATTATTATTTTTTAATTATGGTTATTTTATGTTATTTCACAGTATTTCTTTGTCGCCAAAATATTACCAGATTTTTACAGTATTTGTTTTACAGTGTATGGTTAAAAATGAACCCACTTAAACTCAGGTTTCACTTTTAACCCACTTGTTTGTAGTCTGCAGTGAAAGTAAACACAAGAAAAATCCACCAGAGCAGCCACATTTTCCGAAGCAACCACAGAATCAATCACGTGTGCTAAAAAGTGCTCATGCAAACCCTGCATACAGGTAAAATATACTAAACTGTAATTGCACGTGATGTGTTTAATGAGAGTTGAAGCACTTGAAAGGTTTGTGGAAAAGGTGACAGCTTTCAAAATGTAAGTGTAGTTGTTGAAAATTTTGAAAATGCAAACAGTTAAAGTGTCCATTAGTGTGTCGGGACTGAAAGCAATTAAAGAGAACAAATTGAAAATATGCAAACTGTAAAATGACGTATAGCAGCTAAAATGTCAGTCCATTGAACATTAAAAAGTGAACAAATGCAATAATCTCATGTTAAAATTAAGTCTAGAAAATGAATGTTCATTATGGAAACAACTGAAAGCACTTGAAACTAAATGATAAATGAAACTTCAGCTAAGTGGTGACAGCAGTTTAAATACTTCATGCTGTCAGTTTGAGATTAAAAAGATGTCAGCTGAAGAGCATTTGCTGAAAACGTTTTAAAAATGTATTTGCAAATTTAAGCATTGTTGGCTTGTAGTACCAAGATTTGAAAGAGTAATGACTGAAAGCAGGTCAGCTGGAGAGGAAGGCATGCAGCCATCTGAAATGTCAGTGCATGAGTGGATCCTGAAAGCAGTCATTTTGAAATATGAAAAGAAACTCTGGACAGCTCCTGATATCTTTTTATTTTTTTTGAGAAACTGATTGTTTCAAGGTTTACCAAAATCCAGGTAAGGCATGACGGACAATGGTAACTGTTTATTTTGAGTTAATCACAGAATGTGTGTGAATTTCATGAAAATCTTGAAGATTAAAGCTTCAAAAATGTTTTAAGTTGATATATTGAAGCCACGTGTCAATAGATGAGCAGGAGAATGATGACACTTGATGTTTCTGTCACATCTTTGCACTGAAATAAAAAAACAACTATAAATATATAGACAATATTACCCTGATACAGAGCACAGAACATAATTCACCACTAAAATGACCTGTATTTGGATGAAAACCCAGCAGCAGCCGCGTGCTTTCCTTCTCTGTCAGCGCTGATGATGATGATAAACGACTGTCAGTTTGGACTTCAACCTTTTCATTTGATCTCCGCCTATAGCTGCTGGAGCTGCTCGACTATTTTGGCACATAGGCACCATGGCAGCCTTCCCACAGCGGGTGGCTCTGCAGGGATCTGGAGCATAAACACCTGCCTAAAAAAATACACGTAAAGTTCAACGACCTCTCCAGGTGTGGCCACGAGGGCTCATTTGCATTGACGAGCTGCCTCTCTGCGCACTTGACGCTCCGCTTTTGCGTCGGAGCTGAAACCGTTTTCAGTCGAATCGCATCTAAACAAAGCAGCTTCTCCGTGTGAACTGTCGGTGAACCGGACTGCCGACAGGTAGAACGACCTTTTACTTACCTTTTTTAATCGGCGTGAATCTGGGCGGTGCGTCATTACGCAGCTGGACTCGCTCTCATACAGGACTTCCTGAATGTGAGTTGCGCGGTGCGTCCAGGTTCCAGATCGCAGTGTTTGACAGCCAGTTGAAGCTCACAGCTGCTGGGACATATCCTCTAACATGTAAGTAAATCCTGGGTGGCCAGAACTTTTAACTTTCTCTCGGTCTTAGATGAAACGCTGTGCGCTCACGTGTTGCCAAGAAAAATCCCGTGGAACTAAATAGGCCTAAAATAACACATTTTTAAAAATCGGTTTCCTCCACTTGGAGATTGTTTTTGTGGACCTGCATTGTGTAAAAACCTGAATGTCCTGCTTGTTTCCTCAGGACACCTTCAGCCTAGTCATGTGCTAATTGAGTTTTGTCTTATTTTTGGTGCTGGTTCTAAGCTTGAACCGGCTTTCAAGGGTTAAAACAGAAATGTAAGATAAGTAAGCAGTGGAGGGTGACAGTAAGGTTGTTTGTCACCCATGGAGATAAGGCTGTGGACGTGTTTCCAGGTTACCTGCTTGAGGATTTTGAATTGGCTTACTTTCACAATATGGTTCCAAAGAGAATCTTATTGTGAAATAGGAGACTTGTGCAGATTTCAAACAAGCCTTGTGGTTTATGATTCCTCTTCTTTCAGCCTCTTACCAGCGTGGAGTTATGGCAGATGGTTAAACAGCATTATGGGTCTGATTTGGGTCTGAGCCATGAGGAAATGGAGAGCTTACAGATGACAGCAGAATCCAGCATGCAGAACAGGTGAGCATCTGCACCCCACACATGATTTAAAGTTTTAGAACGTCTCATCACCTGCTTGTTTCTCTGCAGCCTGACAACGAGGCCTGGAGGTGATGACGCTCCAGGCAGACTAGAGCGTCCCCCCATCCTTCGCCTCCCCGGGATGGAGCAGGGACCCCTAGAGGCCTCCACGCCCCAGGGAGAGGACCTGCCTTCTCCTATCGGCTCACAGACCTCAGCCAACATGGTATTCAAAACAGCATTTTTCTAACATTGCAGTGATTTGTGCATGTTTGGATCATTTTATAGCGGTTTGTCCTTCCTGCAGGACGACTCTCGTAGCACCCCGTCTCAGCGGCGCAGTCCTGTCCCCTCGCTGGACCGCCTCGCCCCCGAACGGGTCTCCAAGCGCTCCACGCTTTCTCTGGACCTCAACGCCAACGAGAACGGCGCGTCCGAGCAGAGTGGCTCAGAAAGCATCGAGGAAGGTAACAGGACACAACTCTGAGAGCATCTCTGTTTTGCATTTTTGTGGTTTAACATTTTCATCTACCCCCTTTTTTTTTTTTACCTCATCAGTGGAGGAGCGAGTCGGGCCTTCCCAGGTGCCGGGTCGGCTGTATCTGAACAAGGTTTTCCACATCAGCGCTACCAAAATGTTTGAGCTGCTCTTCACCGACTCCGGCTTCATCCGCAGGTTCATGAACGTCCGCAAGATAACCAGTAAGTCTTTCTGTTCTTTGTCAGCCACAAATTATTCATCACTTCTAGCTGATAAAATCTCTGGTGTGCAATATTCAACGTTGCCTTTTGTGTTTATCAGATGCCAGCTTTACTCCTTGGCAAAAAGACGCGTCTGGAAACATGAAGCGGAGTCTGAACTACACAATAACCATCAGCAACCCCCTGATCGGGAAGTTCTCCACTGCTACGGAGCACCAGGTGTGTTTACATCTGCGTGTATTTGCTGTTCACACTTGAATGGGTGAACAAATATGTTTTTGTGTGAATTATGGCTCAAAGGCTATTTGTACTTGAATTATGCTGCAGACGCTGTACAAAGAATCCAGGGATGGACATTACCTTGTTGACTCAGAGGTGTATACTCATGACGTCCCCTACCACGACTACTTCTACACTCAGAACCACTACAGCATCAAAAGTAACTCGAAGCGGAAGTGCCGCCTAAGGTAAAGCGTTATTATATCAATTTTTCTGTTGACTTTTATATTCATTCTGTTTGCCTTAAAATGTAACGCTGCTCTTGTGCTGCCAGGGTTTACACTGATGTGAAGTACAAGAAGCAGCCATGGGGCCTGATCAAGTCCTTTATTACCAAAAACTCCTGGAGTGGAATAGAGGATTATTTCAGACAGCTGGGTGAGTAGAAAGCCTCGTCTGTGCGCTGTGGAGGCAGAGGAAAGCACTTCCTTGTCTTCTGCCCTTAGCTTGTGATTCATTTTTTATCGCTGATCTGATATGAACTAGTTGCTACAACACGCATCGGCTCTGCAGCAGTTAATCATATTACTGCCACGAGAGGGAGGAAGGGAATGTAAAGGGCAACACTGCCAGCCTGTTTTAGACTGAAGTCACTGTTGTCGGCTCTTTTAAAACCCCTATATCATGTCCCTGTTCAGCAAATTAAAGAATCTACCAGCTCGAAACACTGCAAAGATGGTTCATTCTACCATGACTCCTGGCTTTAGCTGTGTTTTAAACTGGCTGTTTACGTGTCTGTAACTATAAATACAGTCGAGCTGCTCCTGTCCACGCCTCCTTCAGTAAGAAGACCCTCTCTGCATCTTATTGCAAAGCGTTTGACCGCACAGCATCCGATGTAGATGCGAGGGAGTGTGTGAGACCAGGACTTCCTATTGCCGATAACTTTCTCTCTGATCATTTTACATGGAAATATCCCCAAACTCACTGCATAGTCTTCAACTCATGCATTTGGTGAGTTTGTCAGATGACATTGTGGTTTTAATAACGGCTTAGCAGTGCAGAGCAGCTGCTTGGAAATGACTCAAGTGACTTCCCGTTAACATGTAGTTACTATTTCAGTTGATATTTTGTGCTTGTTCTGACGTCTGACAACAGAAACAGAAAAATATGTAAATGAGAACAGCTTTATTGGGTATTCACCTGAGAGACACAAACAGGTGTAAAAACGTCTTGAGTTTGAGGGTAATATTAAAACACTTTTTTTCCTTTTTTATTGGTTTCAAATTGGTATTAGTTTATATATGAAACCTGAACAACCATAGACATTTCTAATTTCTGTTTAGTTGCCCATGAAGCAGATGTTTCTTTTACCACAACTGTCACTAGAACATGGTGTTTTTGCTGTTAACTCACCCGTTTCTGCCCTATATTTGTTCATGGCCCTGTGATGACACTATACAGAGGCAGAACTTCTGGAGGAGGAAGCAGAGATCAACCAAGGAGGGGGAGAGTTGGGGAAGATTGGTGGACTCCGGAGGAGGAGGCGGACTTACAGCCGAACTCTACCGGAGCACATAAAGCCCAGCAAGCAGTACGGCCAGGACCCTGAACAGCACCGAGACAGCAACATGGGTACTGACTGCTTCAAATGATGGCTTTAAAGGAATAGATTGATGTTTTCACATCTTCACTTTCTTGCAGAGAGTTTGTAGAGAAAATAGATATTCCTGTTATTTCTGTAAATATGTTAAATGTGAAACTACAACCAGGAGGCTTTGCATGCCTGGGGGCAGAGGGGAAAAACTAGGTTGTTACAAAATAGAAATGCACTATTTGTGAACTTCACATGCCACATCCTTTATTGCTTGGTCTGTAAAAAAAAAAAAAGAAGAAAAAAGTACACAATAGGAAGTCACTCTGGCAGGCCAACAAATAGTTGTGGACGTAATGCCCTATTTGGAAACCATTTGTAGTTCTTACACTTTGCTGCTGTACGAATTTAACAAGATGTGACATGTTAAATAGTGAATCTAAGAACACATGGATTTAGTTACTTGCAGACTTTTAGCCTTAATGCTAAGCTAAGCTCATTTACTCCTGGCTTCAGCATCAATTTCTTTATCTCTCATCAAAAAGTCAAGTAAACACATTTCAAGCTAAAATGTGGGTCTTCAAAAAAAAAAAAAAAGAAAAGCAGTAACATAAAGGCTACATAGCTGAGATTTGAGCATCAGTGTAATAACCAGTGGCGGCTCGTTGATACAGGGCCGCCCCACTACTAATGACCAGATTAAAAGTAGTTATCAAACACAATATTAAATTTGACTTAACTATAACAAAATGATTAAAAAAATAGTAATACCATTCATTTTCTTTTGCCATATTAACAATATTTGTATTATTAACAGATTCATAATTAGTCTGCACTGCGTGTTTACTAATTTATACTTCCTGGATGCGGGGTGCGGCCACCTGAGTGTGTATGTAGCTCGAAAAACTTTTTGTGATCATGTGACCTCGGCACAGACTCTGATTGGCAGCTACAGTATTTCTCATGGGGCACAGCTCGGTGCGTCCCAGACCCGTCCACTTTTGCTGCAAGCCAATTAATTTAGTCTTTATTTGCTTTTGTCTTCTGTGGTTGGATATTAAAACTGTCCTTTGACATACATTAAATACATATCTAACAGTCACACGGCCTTTCCCGTCGCTCTTCTATTAGCTGACAGCTACTCTCATGACGGCTTAATGCATTGTCCATGTGTCAATGGAGAAAAGGCTGCTCACAGAGATGAGTGACTTCAACCAAAAAGTAAAAGAGAAGCTTGCTGAGCAGAAATCGAGAAGAGCCAAGTTTTTTTCTAAATAGCTCCAGACTGCATTTGCGACCTTCTTTTTGAGAATGTGAATTGATGAGCACGATGATCATGAAGCTGTATTAGTGTCGCTGTAACCGGCACAGGAAGCTGCTGTGTGGACCACAGTGGTGGAAAGCAGAACTTTCATGACTTTGGTGTCCTGTGGTATTTACACTTACAAATGAGGTCTTCTCATGAAAAACAGAGCGCGCCTGCATTTGCTGTTTTTCCGCTCATAGAAAAGACCGCGTGTAGAATATATATATATCTGGGTTTAACCTCAGACAAATCTGACATGAGAATGGCCTAGATTATTATTTTTAAAGTCATTTTGGTCACACACCTGTCAGAGCAAACCACAGCCACCAGACAGCAGCTACCGCAGCCTGCTATGTGGGGCGTTTAGGGAGCATCAGTAAATCATAGCGTTCAGAAAGTCATATGTTTTCCCTTTGACCAGGTGGGAGGTGCAACAAAATGAGAAAGTGGGTCGCACCGGTGCTACCAGTGAAAAAGTTAATCTGGAACCCTGAATAGAGGGTTTTTAAAAAAAAATGTATTTTTATTATTTATGTTTGTTTTGAGTTTGTACAGATCCTGTAAATATTGATGAAAGGTAAATGTATGGTTTTGAAATTTAGTTCTGGTCAGTCTCAATAATGTTAAATTAGATTCTGATTAAAATATCCTCCAAAGGTAGAAAATTTGCATTCCTGTAAATAGTTGTGCCTGATGTTACTCATATTCATATATACAAATTTTTAGTAATGCCTGTGTGTTTAAATGAGTTGATTGTCTACTGTTTTCATTGTAATATGGCAGACATATAGATTTTACACAATGCTTCCAGGCTGACTTGCTCTGTATTTGTCACAGCTGCTGCTGTGCTTCGACAGCAAGAAGAAATTGTCAGAGCTGTTTAAATTGCTAGAAAATCACAGTAGGTGGAGTTATGTCACTGTCATATTAGGTTACACACCCAGAAAAGCACATTGTTTATATCTCAGGACTGTTGCAAAACACCAATGTCACTGAGAGGAAATCTGTAGGAACCCAAAAAAAAAGTTAACTAAAGCTTTCATCTGCAGCCGTTGGTTGTGTTTTCAAACTGCAGCATGATTTTATAAATCTGTCATGTATTGATCTGCCCTGTGTTATTTCAGGCCCCATAGAAATGAAAGGCCCCTACAGATGGAACATGACTACGATAGTGGCCGGGATGAGTGTGATGTAAGTTGGGAAACACGTTTGTGCAATGTTGTGGTTTGTACTGTGTCTACGGAATGTAAAAAAAAAAATTGTACTCTCAAGCTACTGCTTTGGCAAGAAAGCAAATAATTACATTTAAATGTTGTAGTTTCTGGTGTCTACAAAGTTCATCTAAACCTCTGCCTTCCCTTTTCTGCTATCTCCAGCAGTCAGTTTAAACTCGGTGTTTCCTGTCTTTCTCAGTTTGCTGATTCTGGCGATGCTGAATCTGGGCCTGTTTTTTAAGCTGTGGGCCATGGAGGACGTAGCCCACCGCATGTATCTGACCACAAAGCACCGGCTGAGGGAGAGGAGCCAGGCCAGGTCAGATAACTTTCTGCTGCTACTCCACAACCTGCTTATTTCTGTGTATTGTTCGTGCTTAGCTGCTGTATACGTGGTTGCCATGATCACCCAGAAAGCAGAAGTCTTGATGTGGGTGGACAGGGGGAAGGGGTATGTTTTTCTCCACACTTTTTTTTTATTTTTTATTTTGAACAGCCCACATACGACAGAGAGAGCTCTTGTGTTAATGACTCACGGTGCTGAAACTGCCTGTTTGTCTGCTTCAGTGAATGTGCTTATATAAGTGACATCTTACATCAGCCGCCTTCGTATGTTTTCTTCACTTTGTTCTCTGTTTCTGCTGCCTTCACGTAGCAAAAGTAAATATGTTAATGTGCACATATGAACAGTTTCTCTCCTTCTCTGTTGTGTGACAGTTTGGCCCCCGAGTATGGTCCCCAACAGGCACCGGCGTACAGAACCAGAGAGGAGATGCACATGCTGAAAACTGTGCTGCAGGACTCCATTAACCTTTTAGAACAGGTAGGTCGTTTAAGCTGGAAATGCACGACAGAAAGTCTGACTGTAAATCAAATTTGGCCGTGATTGTAGAAGTGGTGCACTTTAAATCGATTAGGCCTCTGAGCAGTTGTAATATCTGATTTCTGGGACTTGAATGGTCAGAGGTCAGTTGTTAAATGTACTATGCTCTGTCTTTTCACAGTTAGCGTTTAGTTTTATAGTTTGCTCCTGGTTTACGGGTTTCTCATTGTACAGAATGCACACCCAGTAAGTCGAACAACTCTTTTTAGACTTTAGGTTGAGCAGGTTAAATCAGGAAATAGACTTATTAGGTAGATGCTAATTGATACAAGGGCTGAACAAATCAATATCAAAATCAAATTCAAATTGCAATTGGCAGCGATTTAGGATGCATTGTTCAGCATCTTTGATCCTGGGTAATAATAACCTGCTCTACACATTTACTGTGTCAGAGACTGTTTATAGAAAGATCACATTTTTTTCTTTATGTATTTAGCTTAGCATTCACAGTATTTGCGATAATTATATTATGTTGGAACAATATGCGAAAGAATAAGTCCATGTTGGAAGCTACCAAGTCCTTATCCTTGCTTTAGACAATAAAACGGTTCATATTTTGATGGTATCTCATGTGGTAATGCTCCATCATGTTTTAAATCTGTTACACAGTGAATATTGAACTGAAGCTTTACTGTAAAACCTGCAAATCATATGTGCATCTAAATTTGTTCAGCCCTGATTAATGCTATTCTTAAATGCAAACAGGAAAATGGATGTTTTACACTTGGCTGCATGTACAGATTAAGCAAATGACACATAACTTGTTAATTAGTGAGCATTACGAGGCGGGTTTATTCCCTTTGGACTGTTTCTAGTCTGAGCTGAGCTCCACATCTAACATGAGAGCGATGTCAGCTTTTCTTATCTAATTGTGCTCTTTGAAAGGATGACTGTGTTGAAGTCGACTGCAAATTAGATTAGAAATAAGTTCAAGGTTAACTTTATTGTGTCACACGAGGAACAAGGACAAAAGATAACAAACGAATGCAGGAAATAGAAATACATAAAAAACACCAATGTTTCAGAGTCGAGCAAAGACGGTGCTAATTTCCAGTATGCATATTTATAGCACGAGGAATGAAAGAGATATGGAATCTCTAATTATGCCCTCCACACAAAGGCTGCTTTACAAGTCGCACACTTCATCTGTTATGTCCTACAGCTGCCCTCACAAAGCACATACTGCTGCATGCACACAACTGAGACATACTACTTGGTCACAATACTGTGCCTGAGACTTTGACTGTCTCGCTCATAAATCTGTCACAGTCTGCAGTGTGAAATGAGCTGTCATCTGTTTGTGCATTCTTGGAGGCTCGAGCGTGTTTATACTTGCATGAGACACCGTTGTGTAAGTGATGTAACCGTGTAGAGGATTGTGGGTCAGAATGGCCTGAAAAATATGCTGGCTTGCATACAGCTAACTCCAACTGAAGGTTGTAGGACATCCGGGTATTTTTGACATTCTATGTATTGGGACAAACTACATCTTTTTCCAGCATGCTGTAGCAGTGACGTGAGGTTTATTTGTTTGTTTGTTTACTTAAAAGGATCCCCATTGACGCCAAGACGTCAGCTAGTCTTCTTGGGGTCCAGACAATAAAATATCAAAAACAAGCATTCCAGTCTCAAGTAAAAATAGAATAAATAACAACAACAATAAAGACACACAACAAGAATAAACAAAATAATAATAGAAATACATAGGAACATATGTCCAAAATAATACATAGAAGTATATAAAGATAATACACAGACTAATTAAGGTGAGGTTCATGGCTGGTGAGGCACTGACTTCATCAGAATCAGATTTACAAATATATGCACTCTACAGAGTAACTTATGTGCCATTAGATTGGCAGCAGTTTATGGGTTATGTTTCATATCTGCATTCTTTACACATACAAACTGTAACCCACTAAACGTACATTTCATTAAAAAAACCAAAACAACAAAAGAAAACGTTATTGCGGTCATATCTTTACTTATAAATAAAGTCCATGGCTCCTTCTGGACAAAAATATCTGTTACTTTTTTGTAAGCTTGCTGTCACTTAGCCTGTAGCTGCAGAGTCACCAGAAGAACATCTGGGATCAAGAGCGCCCCCTGCCATGAGGCGAGAGAACTGCTTGCCTCACCTAGAACCTCTTCTCAGCTGTTTTATGATCGCTCAACACACAAAACACGTCACACACATACAGTCAGTGACAAAAAAAACAAAACACTGTACATTATATACATCAGCTAAACTATGGAAATTCAGGTCATATATTAAATTTGTTTTTAACCTGTTATTGGTGACATACAGACAGCAACACACTCTCCTTGCATGGCAGCCAGTGCAGGTAGCGAGGGATTGTGCAATTCAAGGTGAGGCTCAGCTCGCTTCTCTTCTAAGCATTTTATTTATTTTTGTTTACTAACCTTTATTTAACAAGGAGAAATCCCATTGAGATTAACAACCTCTTTTGCAAGGGAGTCCTGGCCGAGATAGGCAGCAGCAAATACAAAACACAGTTACAAAATTACAGTTAAAACATTATTAAAACAATCAAAATAAAATAAAATAAAAAAAAAATTACAAGCAAGTTATGAAAAACAAGTGCATGTTGTGGAGTGGGCCTCAGGAACTCGCAGTTTGGATTTAAAAGCACTCAATGAGATTAACTCGGTTAGTTTCCAGTTGTTCTGCAACATATTCCATGCAACAGGTGCAGAGTTTTTACCCAATGCATTACGGACATATGGAACAGAAAGCATCAAATGATCTTGTGAACGGAGACGGCAAAGATCAGCATTTTCTGTGCAGTTAAAGAACAAATGTAGGTGGGCAGTCGTCCAAGTATTGCCTCGTACATGACAGTATACAAATGACAGATCCTTCAGGTGGCAACAGCAGGCTGTCCCACCCAATATTTAAATGGGAAATTGTGCAAATTCAGTGATTTTTGAATTAAAAAAAAGAATCAAAATTGGTGTCGCTAAATGGAAAAAATTACTTTATAGTACAAATCATTGGATAAATAGGACCATTTGCTTTTTTTCTCATTATATATAGATATTTTTTTCCCTGACAGCACGTCACTGCTATATAGTATGTTCGTATGTGTAATTTAATAATGAGTCTGAACAAGACATAAGTGTTGTTTCCTGTTTTACAACCAGCACGAATCCATCACACCAATGCATACCTCCACCTTTTTAAAAGCCTAAAGCAGGTGTTCAAGCTGCTGAGTCAGTTCTTCTTCTCCTCACAGCTCCGCAGCTCTCTGGTGGTTCTCCAGCAGAACTTTGCTTTGGCCAATCGAACAGCAGCACCGCAGTGATGCAACCACACCTGGGGACTACAGAGCACCTGCTCCCAACCCTGTGGAGGGAGAAGAAAAAAAAAAAGGACTGCAGCACTGAACTGCCTCAAAGGAAATCTCCGATGTCCACAGGATGTTGCCATGTAGACGTCCCCAGACCCCTGACGTGTTGCCGGGGGGTTCACTCGTTCCAAAGCTTGTGGAGAGGCATCAGGTGCCAGGATGTTTGTAGAGCTGCACACTGTCTGCTGGGAGGACATCAGAGGAGCAGCGGGTTTAGATTTCTGTTGGGTGCTACTGTCAGCTCCCACAGCTGGATTCTTTTTCCACTCTTTTCTTAGACAGCGGCATTGGATTTCCTTTTTAATGAGCCTTGTGTCACATGAAGTACACTATTGTAGATACTTTTACTTTTTGGTTTAATCGGGGAAAAGGAAACAAAAATAATTAAAAAAAAAAAAACCCGCAATAAAATTTTGCAAAAAATTTAAATTTTGCAAAAAGCCTGGGAACAAAGCCGGGGTTTAAAACCAATTTTTCCAATAAAAATTGTTGAATCAGTGACTCAAATTTGAAAGTTTGTCTGTTGTAATCATTATGAATCATCCTCTTGTGAATTATTTTTTTCTGGTGTACGAAGATATTGCTGAATGTCTTTTTTTTATTTTTTTTTTTAAATCACATATTTAACACATTTTACTGATCAAATTCTGGACCATAAATGGACCAAACCAAACAATGGCATGCCTCGTCCTTATCACCTGGTTTTGTGTGCTTTTTCTCCTTTTTTTCCTCAGTGAATGGAAACTTATGATTCGCTTTGCACTTTTGATGGCGGTGATGTTATTTTAATTAAGGTGGAGGTTCAGCGAGACTATCTCAGTACTGTACGCTCGCTCTGTCAACACTAGATGCACATTTGCTCTGTGATTTCCAGATCTAACAGGAACACTAGTCATTTTTTTTGTTTTCTTCATCAGTTGTTGGTTGTCTGCGTCTATGGTTGCCTTGAGCCTTGTTCGATGTTTACAAAATGTTGCTGTCATTGTTGAGTTTTAAAGCCAAGATGCACAATTTTTGCTGAGCTGCCTTTTCTTCACTTATTGTACAGACACCAATCCTGCAAACCAGACCTCATTTATTATCGACTGCTGTTTTGTACATTTGTCAGTCATTGTTTAAATAAAGAATATGTCTTACTAGATGTCTCCCTTTCCCTGCTGATGTTTCCAAATGTATCATCAGTGCATGTTTGATAAATGTGCCACGTTACCAGGGTTGATTGACTAACTCTTAATTATACAGCTGAAATTTCTCAACTCAACGGACTACAGTTTAGACTCTCAAGTCAACATTACTCAGTTGTTTTTTTTTTAAATACATGATGCTGGTAGGAGCTGCACAGACTATATATCCTGCTCATGGAAAAAAGAAGCAGAAGATTAAATGGGACCAAAGCCAAATCTGGCTTTGCTCCTTTGTCACAGGTGAAACACTAAACGATTGAGACTGTCTTTAATTATTGAACAGCAGCCTGTCTCTACTCAATCCAAGAGGAAATGTTATATTTCCTCTAATGTATCCTCAGAATGCGATATGATCGTTTGAATTTAAGTCTATCAAAATAGTTTCCTATCCTTATATGAAAAAGTTTTATTGTATTATTCAGGGGGTGGAAAGTGGCTAATTAATGTACATACAAAGTTTTTCCATACCTTGCACTTTTATTCCAGAATTTTCTAGAGGGAAATATGATACTTTTTACGATACTTCATTTATTTGCCAGCTGTACTTACAAAACACAAACCTCCTTACAAAAATAAATCCATGTAGATTATAGTTTGAGGTCTATATAGGTTAGCCTATATTACAGAAAATACAGAAGAAGAACAAACATTTGTGAAGTTTGACTTTTTCTTTTTTTTCTTTGTTTTTTATATGAACATACACGTACAAACTTTTTTTTTCTTTTTACTGTTTGCATGAGAAACACATGGAGAATTATCCACACGTACTTTTTTGTATTATGTGAAAGTATCATTGGAAGCCCCAAATGGACAGATTCTATTGTAAATACTCCGGCCTACATTTATGATGAATTGGGTCCAGCATCATCCACCGCAATACAGTAACATAATAGGTAACCAGCTGTAAAATAAATAATATAATAATAAATAAAATCACTGTGTCTGAAAGGTTAACCCAGTAAGGGCAGGACTAGATTAAAATAATAAAAAATAATAATAATAATTTCTGTATGAAAAAAAAGAGTCAAAAGCAGCATGGAAATTTGAAAATAAAGTTAATCTTATGCATAAATAGCAAGTATTAATATTTTTTATTTTTTTAAAGACTGATGAGATAAGATTTTCCTCTGGGCCATGATCCCCTGCATCTTTTACATTAAATTCATATTTCTATTTCTATTGGGGACAATAAATGCAGGTAATTTTGATACCTTACTGTCTGCAGCCGCTTTATTTTGCTGATACTTCAATGCAGGGCATTTATTTATAGTTCAAGCAACAGTCAAGGCTGTGGCTGCTCCTCCACCTGAGCAGACTCTGCTGTCTGGAGCAGCTCGGTCCTCCGGTAGGCGTTCCCGGGGAGCGCACGAGTCCTGGGCGGGGAAAGTCCACCTCGTTTGACGTCAGGAGGGAAACTGTCTGCTCAGTTTGGCAGCAGACACACAGGACTCCCTCCAAACCAGAGCCTCGACCTGGACGAAGCCTCGGTGGTGGGGGGGAGGCTCCCGGTGGCTCCCCGTCGACCTGAACCCAGCCTCCGTCCCTCCCGGCAGCGGCTGTTGTTCCGGAGACTCCCGCTGCGCTCCGAGCGCCATACAGCGGTCACCAACACCGGATACGAGCGCCGCTGCCGGGTTTGAGACTTCCGTGGAGGAGCCCTGGGGAAACCGTTTATATTTTTGGTCGGTGTTACTGGAAGTAATCGGCATGTAGCAGCCCCGGTGTTCAGGTATGTCTGAGCGGGGTTTGTTTGCGCGTTTCTGGCGCTGCGGTTTGACGCATAGTGTCGCTCCGGTGAGACGCTGCTGGCTGACAGGTAGGATCAGTGAAATCTGGGTTAACTGTGACCTGCAGCCGGAGATTAGCTGGTTGTGATGACGGGAAGAAACCTGCAATGTTAAAACAATAAAATTATAGTTTTGAGCCACAAAAAACGAATTGATTTAATCTGTTGATCCATAAGTATCCCATTAGTGTAAGAAAAGTTTTCCACTCAGTAGTCAAAATACATCTTATATCTATGATGTATGCATTTGTGACTTTAAAGAATAATTTTGAAGCTTAGAGTTTAAAATAATAATCTAAAAAGAAGCTTCCAGCAGACAGAGAAAATAAAACTGGCTTTAATGTGCATTTTTTTAATGTAACTTTTTAAACAGAGCAGTTCTGGTGCCATTTAAATGATTTGCATTTGGTTCCTCACCTGCTCCTGAAAAAAAAGAAAAGTAAAAATACCTGACCAATTTACTAGAGCTGACCCATACTGGATTTCTTTTGGGCCGATAGCAATTTTTTAGGCCTTTAAAGCTGTTTTGCATCCAAAAGACTTCTTCAGTTCTTCCTGGCTGATGACGAGGTTCATGTGCATGTAAGAGTTAAATTAAAAAGGGAAAGTGATGAGGTCATTGTTTATTCTTCTCCAGCAATGAATTTCACCAACTAGTTTGCAACTTTCTATAAAGACACTGCTCGACTCCGCACCACCACCGTTGGTTCAAGTGTGATGAGCTCTGCTGCATGTGCTGCACACAGTGCTGAGGGTGCTGTAGACAGTGGATGTGATGACTCAGTTTCTTGATTAATTCAAAGCTTTTTTTTCTGCTGTGTTATGTTTTATGACAAAACAACTCATTGCAAATTTATTTCATGAAGTAGGTACATAGGAGAGAGACAAGAACAGACTCCATTTGCCTGCCCAAAGTCCAGGCCTGAAACAATTTAGACGTTGTGTCTGTTGGAAACTTTTGTATTATGTTCTGAAAAAAAACAAAACATGAAAAAGAAAGTTTTCATGTCCGTGAATATCGGACAACATATATGCAGATATCAGTATATCTGTGACAGTCGATTTTCAGTCGATATTATCGGCCAACCACTATATCATTTGGGCTCTGCTGTTTAATACACAAGCTGAAGCCAACAGCAGTTTTTAAAACTATTATTTTTACATTGTTTTTACATTTGTCACCAAAAATATGTTGTTGTTTTTTTCATTTGAGGAGATTAATATTGCTTTCATAGCTGTTTGGTAAGTGTGAAGTGATAGCCAGCAGCTAAATACTGCATCTGCATGAAGAATGTCAAAGCAAGTTTCATTAAGTTTCATTAAAGCTGAGTGGAAAGGTTACAGGCCCAATGAGAGGAAATGAGTTTTCATAACATCTAGGTAAAAGATTAGTGACCGTACAGGAGGAAGAAGAAGATTCTAGGAAACACAGCCTTGTTGCATCCCATGTGTTTAGACTTTTTGATGTCTGATCCAATGTGTTTAGTCTTCTATTGTCTGTGGATGAGTGCACCCTGCTGTTGATTATCAAGCACGAGATTGTTATACTACCATTGCAGTGAAGGCCACCCTGCACATGTATAAGAACACCATGCTGCCTGCACTCATGTGTACTCTCCTGCAGACTGCTTGCACTCTGAATGACTGGTGCCTTCAAAGCTTTGAATAAAACAAGACAAAGACAGCTCAGACTTCTGGACCTTATGAAGATCATAGCAAAAATTTCCACAACACTAGCATAAGCAAATTCTCACCGGTTGCCTGGCAACTTCCCAGCAGCAATAACTCTACAAAGTTTTTGGTTATTTTGACACTTTTCTGAGCTTTAAATGTGCTGGTAGGTTGATTTGTTGAATTTTAAAGGGAGCCATGTTTGCAGTTCCCCTTTTTTCCAGTCTTCATGCAAAGCTAAGCTTATAGCTTATAGTGACTAGCTTCATATTTATCACACAGATATATAGTGAGTGGTATTTATCATCTAAAACCCGTGACAGTAAGCAAATAAGAATGTTTCTCAAAATGTTAAACCATTTTTTTGATCACCTGGCATAACAGCCACTTAAGTGTCATCCATATTTGTTGGGACTTTGTTGTTTTTCTCTCAAGGTTTGTTTGTCTATGGCATGAAGACAAGTCAAGATGCATGTAGTGATAGTTGTCATTATCTGAAAAATTGCGTGTTATATTTTTTAAAAGCCCAACATGACGTATTCAGTACAACCAGTGGTATCAAACTCAAAGATACACTGCTTCCTATAAGGGAAAGCAGCAAACAAGGTTCCTGGAAGTAGTATCCATCAAAAAAAGGTTGCAGGTTGGTTCTCTGTCTCCCAAATTATTGATTAATCCTCTAATCATGTCAGGTTTGAAGGTGACCACTAAAGGCACTCAAAGAATTGCAGCTATCTGACTTTATATATTTCAAAGATCGAATGCACTTTCCTCTGCAAGGCTTTTTAATGTCCCGCAACAGTAGCCAGCCCAAAGCACTACACACACCACAGACGTAAAACTGCTGAGCGCCACGGTCATGCTCTGAATCCTTGCAGCAGTATTAGTGTTTTTTTTTTGTCAGGGAGCAGATGTGCTATTTGGTGCCACTGTACACCCATTAATCAGTACATGGAACCCAATCTGTCCCCTCTGTTGGCTCTTACAGGCCAAACTCAGCCTGCAAGGACTCACCAGCTAGATGCTGGTGACCTTCCCTGACCCTGACGTCCTTTTTGCCATGTTTGTCTGATCACTGGCTGACTAGTAGTATTAACACACCATGTCATGCTTTGATCAAAGGCTCATTCAGGCCACTTCAGCAGAGCCAGATCTCTCCCAGAGAGAGAGAGAGAGAGAGAGAGGTTTAACTCAGCTGGAGGATTAAACCCACTTTGTAGTTCATTGGGGAATCATCAGCTTGTTATTGAAAGGACACTGAAGACCTGTGATTGTTCTAAACGCTGACACCACCTCAACCTCAACCCAAATCCTTGTGCGCTGCATAAAATATACCAGCAGACTGTCGTGGTGGGATCGCTAGCTTGCTGTAAATCATTAAAACATGACAGATGTGTGACAGATGTGAGAGTAGGAGATGGACTACATAGGGTCAAATGAGTGGGCTCTGCTCAGTGTTGCGTGGTGGAAATCTGTTTGGAACCATTCCACCATCTAAAACACATGCAAAAGGCTGGTAAGCTGCTGCAGGCAAAAGTCATTTCAGCAAAGTGGGCTTTTAGAGGTATTTTGTATGACTCAGCTGCCACTTTTCTCTTCACTAAACTGTCTTATTTAAAATCACATAAATGAACAAAGTTAACCATCGCACTAATAAACCTTATTTAAACATCTGACAGGCTGTCTGTCATGAAGAAGCGAGCCAAGAAGGTGCTGGAGGAGAAGGAGGAGGTCTTGTGCTGCTGCGAGTATGTGAACAGACATGGAGAGCGCAGCCATGTGGCGGCCTGCTGCTGCGACTGTGAGGACCTGGACGACGCCTGTGATAGGTGAGAGGTGTTAAACTGACATCAGAGCTGCTACTAATCAGTATTTTCATTCATGCCAACTGTTTATTTTAACTGTTTATTTAAACTCAGAGTACATTGAGGTGCGGAGGTCTCATTTACAACGTAGCCGAGTAAGAAAACAGAAAATATCGGCACACAAATGAGAAACTTAGATTACAATAGTGATAAAATATTAATATATAGGCTGATAAGAGCAAGCGTACATTTGTTTTATTAATCCTGTCTGTTTCATTTTACTCTCAGCCTCTAATTAGTTTCCATATTTGTCTCCTGTCTGCTCTGCGTTAACAGTCTGCAGTTCCACCAAAAAGTTTCTGAATTTTTGTCGCATAACTGTGGGTTGTAGCAGAGTCAGTCATGGATACTTAATTGCACCGAGGAGGGTAGAATCTGTTGTTTTACAGAATCTAAATTCGTGGAAATGATTTGTTTTTGGCAAATTTTTAAATGAGACATGTTGAAAAAGAACATTTTAAGCTTAAATTTTGGTTATTTTCAAGATGGTACCACTAGTCGCATGATCAGTGTTTGGTTCTGATAAATGGTATAATACTGTAGATTTTTTTATTAAGATAAAATGCCTTTCAAACTTTTCAGCACGTTTTGGAGTTCAAAGGGTTAAAACTTTAGTTATTACAAAGGTGAAGGTATGATTATGTGGTGGTTTTGCCAGTTTGCAAAGAAGCTGCTGATAACTGAAAGTGAAAACACTGAATCTTTTCTTTCCTCCATCAGGTTTATGAAGAGGGAGGCCCAGAAACCAGAGTCCCTGTCGCAGGTGGCTGCAGTCGTCACGGACCGGATCCGTGTGCCCTGGCTGTGGGGTGGCGCCCGAAAACTGGAGCTGTCCATCATCCCTCCTCTCATTCTCCTCCCCGCCCTGCTGCACCTCGCCGCTCTCCACTTCATGCTTGGCCTGGTGGTTCTGACAGCTCTGCCCGTCTTGGTGCTTTGGTACTACTACTTCACCCATCGCAAGAAGGGACGGACGCTCTTCTTCCTCAGTCTGGCCCTCTTCTCCTTGGCGTACATGTACTACTTGTTCATCACAGAGGTGGTTCCCAGCGGCGACGTCGGCCTGCTTCCGGTAGTGCTGGTAAGTGTGGGGGTCGTCCTCACCCTGCTGGCTCTCGTCCACACCAAGAGGGACCCTGGCATTGTGCGGCCAAACCAGGAGGCCGTCCACAGCACGGTGACGTATTACGCCCCCCTGGTGGACAGAGACCCTTCCCTGAACGGGGGGAGGCAGGATGTGACAATGACAGTGTCCAACCGGTCGGGGTCGCCGGAGCAGGCGGAGGTGAAGGAAAGTAGCCGAAAGAACTGGTGTCCGGTGTGCAGGGTGGTGCGGCCCCCGAGGGCCGGACATTGTCGGATCTGTGGTGTCTGCGTGCTGCGTCTCGACCACCACTGTGTCTGGTGGGTTCCATGAAAATGCCTCTTTGTCTCACATCTCAAACACTGAAGTTGTCTTGTTTGTCACCTTTTCCACACAAAGTCTGTTCAGCAAGTCAGTTAAAGTCAGTTCTTTCTTTTCAGGTACTGAGCATTTTTCAGTGTCCACCATATTTGTATGTTGTGTTGAGTCAATATCCCACATTCATTTAATCACACTGTGTGTTCCTGCATGTCTGTGTGTAGTCTAGTGCAACCCTGGAGTCTCAGTACGATGTTTTGTCTGCTTGTGTGTGTTTGTGCGTTCGTGCATCCCCTCCTGTCGGTGTGGCGGTAGGATAAACAGCTGTGTGGGACAGGCCAACCACCGCAGCTTCCTGCTCACGCTTGTCTTCTTCCTGCTGACGTCGCTGTACGGCATCATCCTGGTGCTGCAGAGTGTGTGTCCGCAACAAAACGTCCTCACCGCCTTGCTCTACTGCCCAGGAGTCTACAACCAGTACAGGTACTGAGAGCACACACAGTTTCTACACACATTGCTGGGTATGAAGTTTTAACATCATATTTCCTTACTCGTCTTTAGTTGGTGGATTCAAGAAAATACTTCCTTCTTGTTGCAAAGCTCCAGTGTGAAGATTTCGTCATGCGATTATAACTTCTTTACTCTATTACAGAACAGAATTAGACAGTGTCAGTTTAAACTGGTGTGTCTTTGTGCTCCTTTAAGTCCATTCATCCTAAGCATTCTCAGCCTGCTAAAGGTCTGGAAAGTCAGAAATTGTTAAACTAAATCCATTCTTCATTCAAGTCAGGTTCTGTATGATACCTTCATCTTTAAACCCTTAGATAAGGCAACACTCCTAAAACAGACCTTAGACGTAGAATAAAGGAAAAGTACATAACTTACAGAAACATACTATTAGGAATCAGATCTGTTTCCAAGCAAGTAATTTTAGACCAATAATGTTTGTCTACCGAAGAGATGTAATATTTAATGAGATTCAGTGGTCTAGGCTGGCAGATTGTGTTACTTGCATACAGAGCTAGGCTATCAGTTGTCCCCTGTTTCCAATCTTTTAGATAAGCTACTTGCATTAGGTGCTGTGGCTAGTTTCAAATGTACTGTATAGATATGAGAGTGGTATTGACATTCTCATCTATCTCTGAACAAGACGACAAACCTCAAATTATTCCTTTTAGATTAAAGGCAGTCTGTGATTCTGGAGAATAATTGTTTATATTTAGCTTGTTTGCATATGTATTCCAACTTCCCATCTTCCCTCCCTTTTGCCGTTCCCCCTGTCCTGTGCACGAGCTTCAACATGCACACAATAGTGTTGTGTGGATCAGTCCGAACCACTTTATTTTCATTCTTTGGGTCTGAAATTTGAAGCCAATGTGGAAGTGCTGTGAAACTGCATTTCTTTGTAGTGGCCAGCAGGGGGCGACTCCTCTGATTACAGAAAGAAACCAGACTGTATAGAAGTCTATGAAAAGATGACCCTACATCTTCCATGATTTCTTAGCTAAATAACATTTTTCTAATGAGTTTATGGACTTAATCCCTTGTTTCAAGTCGTTACAGCTTGATGTTTATTTTGCAAATGATGGTCACATGTACAACCACAGCTGTATACAAACACTGTTTTTCTTTTCAGCACACACACAGAACAGACCAGGAACGAATCATGAGGGGATAATGACAAAAATTGTATTATAAATGCATTAGAATCGCTGAATTTAATATTGACACTGACCTTTCTTATTGATACTGGCAACAAAAATCAGTCAGGCTGTACAAACAAGTTTACTTGCTTTTCATTAGAATGCAGAACAACTGCCACAAAACTAAAATGACCATGGCGTTTTGCTTACACAGCGCTTCAGGAAGAAATGAATATGTCATGAAAATCTGCATTCAGAATTCATTGTTAGTTAGATAAAGTAAGAAACCTTTCTATTTTCGTTCCCAGCCTTGCTACACAGCACAAACTTCAACATCTACTTAGCTGCACAGAGACAAGCTCAATACTTAATTACAAGCCTAAAATAAACATCCACAGTTCAGATGAAACCCATGGAAACGGGAAATGGCAGTCAGCCTTTTAGCCGTAATTACGAGCAAAATAGTATTCTTTTAATAGCTCAGAGAAACTATCTCAACTGATACACCATGGGGCATTTTGACATTTTTCCCAGAATCACGCGAGTTTTCTCTGACATGTTCTTGCATATTGGACATCAGGCTTCTTTCACTGTAGTGTTGAATCGCTTTCAAAGGAACCTTGGAGCGTTTCATATCAAGCCGCTGGAGAAAGACTCACTGTTTGTGCTCAGAGCAACGAGAGTGGATGTGAGGCAGATAAAATGATCTGTGCTGGCACTGCTGTAGGCACACTTTAAATAGGCCTTTAGAACAGCTAGTATGAATGACTACTATGTCCTAAATATGGAGAAAAAAAAAAAAGAAGAACAAAATGGTTCTTAACTGTGATGTATCCACTTATCTTTAAATGTGGCTACATAGAGTGTTTTATATCCGAAAATTACCGTTTTATTGCCTTATTTACACTGAATTATTAGTGGCTAAAATAAGGTGTTGTGCATGTGTTGAAAAAAATAATAACCGTGCGAGCTGTGGCGCCTTTTAATTCACCATCTTTTTCTTCTGTCTGTGTTGCAGCACTGCTCTGTGCTTCACCTGTGCGTGGTACAGCAGCATCGTGACCGGTGGGCTGCTTCACCTGCTGCTAGTGCAGGTCATCAATGTCAGCTATAATGTGACCGAGCGAGAGGCACGAATCGCCCTGCGAGAGAAAACCGCCCGCAGTGCCTACTGGGGGCTCGTGGTGGACACTGGGGTCTACTCTCTAGGTTTCCGTGGCAACTGGTCCGAATTCATGACCATGGGGGACAAACTAAATCCCCCCTCTCCTGCAGATCTGGTGTAAGAGACTATTACACAACCCTATTACACACGGGATTATGGCTGCTGTTCTGTTCGTGTCCACTGGATGGCAACATGGCTCCTTTTAAACCAGGTTTAACTTAAACGGGCCCTCTGCTGTTGGCAGTAAACCTGAGGGCTACCAGGACTGTTCTCAGCAATGCTTTAAGTTGCAGCTACAGCCGTGGAGTTGCACTGACTCTGACACTTTGAGCAATAACAACTACAAATCCCAGTGAGATGCATTTACTGCCATTACTTTGACTGACAACTGGCATCTCCTCTATGCCGCTGTACTCACTCTCACCCATGTTCACACCACCGCTGCCTCATTCTGCTTCTCATCAGCTGCTCTGCCAAACAGACATCACTGTTTTCTCCACTCTGGATGTCTTCCTTGGATTTGAACCCTGACCTTTTGTCTCCTCTACTTTCTAGTGCCTTGGTGGATGATTGCAAACAAGCAAATCGTGAGTGAACTCCAACAATGCCAGTCTGTTGATTCTGGTAGAGGCATTTCCTGTGAGCACAACAGCAACCACACAAATGACACCTCTTGATACATAGATACACTTGTTCAAGGATGGTCTTCTTCTTCCCCATACCTCCTTCATCCTTCACAAACACCAACTGTACTTTACCTTACACGGCCTTGTAAAATGCGTCAAGGACATTTACCACAGATTAATTAAACATATGTCTGCAAAAGCCAGAAAATCAAGTTCTACAGCAATCACTTGCATAGTTTTGAATAGATTCATAGTAAGTTTGACTCTGTTAAGCTCTTTCAAACTGACTCACAAATGAAGCAACTCCGAATACATGAAAAAAGCAAATGAATCAATGTGTTTAATACAGAAATGAGCTTTCCACTATCACTGCTTTTCAGTCCTCAACAGAATGAAAAGCTTTTTTGTATCCTGAAAATTGTATGGGCCCAGTTGTGTGTGTTTGTATGAAATCAATTAAATTTATTTTTATTAAATGAACATGAAAAATATGAAATAGTTTTCATCTCCTGATTGCAAGTGTCTGCTCCAGACATGTCTGTGTATCGTCTGTATGGCTACGCGGTTTGTCGCCTACGCTGACAGTTTCTCCCAGAGGCTTTACAGTGGATGGGAGCAGAAATCAGGCAGAACCTCAGTCACTTTCCGCCCCAGCTTCTCCCGCCGCTCGTCCCTCTCCCTTTCCCGGCGCAGCAGACATGGAAGCTGCCTCCAGGCCAGGAAACATCGCTGCAGCACCCGTCTGAAATGCAGGCAGATGGAGAGACAGATGGGGAATGGAGCGAGTGAGCAATAACAAACTGGATTATTGGGACCTCGAGGTTGACAACACCTAATAAGTTTTCACATGTTACTTGGAGCTTGTTGGCAGTGGCAGCTGGGAAGCTGGTGGGAATTCACCTGCAGCCTGTGGTCTAATAGCAGACTCCACCTGACAGGCCGAAGTTCCTAAACATGACCGTTTTGTTGCGCTGAAATCATTCAGGTGGTGCTCCAGAAATCATTACCTTTGTCCACAATTGGAAATAGGAGACACACAATATGAGTTTTATTGAGCATAATCAAGATTTTAAGACGTCAGTGTTGATTTAAAATTAATATTTTGCAGAAAACAAGTACTGCAAGTCAATTTTAGTACAAATCAGAACATTTTCAGTCATCAAACTTATTCCTCAGCATGTTGGTCAGTCCGTCTTTAAGCTATCGGTTGAATTGTTTTGTTTTTTTTCCCATTCGGGTTCCCCAGAGGGTTTATCTTATTGACTTTGGGGAACCCCTGACTTTTCCTCTAGCAATGCAGTTGGTATTTGTGATTTGAGAGCAATGTCTTTAGTGACCCGCTAAACATCAGCCAGTCAACATTGTCATTGTGACCACTTCTGGAGAATGAGCTTGGGGCTCAATTGTTGCTATTCTGGTCACGTCGGCTCACATGGGCAGCAATATGGCTTCTGTGACCCAGATTTTACATCGATAGCTTTCCTCTGCTTGGTAGCAAATCTGAGAGCTTGACTAGTGCCGCCAGTAGGGCCGCAACTAACGATTATTCTCATTGTCAATTAATCTGTTGATTATTTTCTTGACTAATTGATTCGTTGTTTGTCTATAAAATGTCAGAAAATGGTGAAAAATGTCGATCAGTATTTCCCAAAGCCCAATATGACGCTTTCAAGTGTCTTTTGTTAATAAACCAGAGATACTCAGATTTCTGTCAGAAGAGCCCTCTAGAAAACATTTCAATTTAAGAAGTTAGAAGAAAAGTATTTTGACTTTTTTTCTCCTAAAAAATATCATAAATACTGGCAATTAATTGCGGCACGAGCTGCCAGGACTTCCAAATGAAAATTTAGTAATTTAATTTATCATGAAGACTTATTCATTCTTACCAGGCACTGTGTGTTTATGCAAATTTTAACATATTAATTTGTATGGTTGCACAGTAGAAATGAGCATTTAAGGAGATTGCCATTCATAGAGGTGCCAGCACGGCTGAATGGATAACCGATATATCACAATTACTTTCAAAATGCATTGTCTGTGAGTTACCTAAAAGGGTTTTTATTGGAGAAAGCCAGTCAGGCTGGAAACACTATGCTCTGAGCAACAAAATGAAACACAACTGGCTCCATTAATCATAATATGAAGGGACATTTGCAGCAGAAAACTGATATGAAGTACTGCGTCGGTATCAAGGAGATGATGGTGTAATTGTTAGTCTAATCAACAGGCAGTTAGGATGGAAAAATGTTATGCTGTTCATATTGGTAAATGTCCAACATTTTCTGCCCTGTGTGTTTCAGCATCTAACTTTTGTCATAATCTTCACTACTTACCAGCAACTCAAGCCTATTCGTGCCGACTTGGGGACTTAAAAGTTGTAAACTTTTATAGAATAGACTGTAAAAGGCTTACAGGATTCGCCATTCTTGGTGAAAAAAAAATTGGCCTTATTTTGCATTTCAACTTGTAATTAAAGTTTTCACAAGCTGTTAAATTTAATATCACACCCTGTACATTGGTTATATTACTGCAGCATTCATACAGCGAACATATGGCAAAGTCAGGGGTGGCAGACCTGCTATTGTGCTCCTGAGCCAGCTCCTGACGGTCCCACTCCACCAGCCTCTCTTGGGTCACATGGTCCAGCAGTGCGAGCAGAATCCTCCTCAGAGTGTGCGCGCGATAAAAACGCTCGGCTCGCTCCTCTTGAATTAACCGCAGGTCTTTCAGCTGAAACAAGCAACATTCACTTAGAGATAAGGACGCTGTTAAAGTGTGCTATTGGCATGTAGTAGTAGTAGTGAAATCCAAATGATGGATATACCCCTTTTAAAAGCTGGAAAACGCTGCTAATTGGCATTCAACCCATCTTTTAGCAGCAAAATCCACAACAAAACAATTACAAGTTGCTTTGTAAGTGGAAGTGATAAGGATGGCCCTTGCTAAGACAAGGGAAAATAGTGGGATTGCTCAGAACTTTTTCTCTTCAAAGGCTGGGCACATGGAAACATAATTGAGTGCAGGCAGAAGAGGAGATTAGGACACCGTGTTGCTTTAAGTAAGCCCTGATGGAGAAACTGTTGTTTGTGTGTATAAGTGAGTGTATACACACTCTTTTCCAGCGGCTTAAGCTCCTCCGAAGCAAAAAGTGCTGGTGCAGTTGGTCAGCAGAAGCTTCCTTCTCAGACAGGGACTCTCTTGCTGATTGCTGCCAGCCTCGTACGCAGCGCCTCAGGAGGAAGAGATTGTGATGTCTCTCGGCCAGCTGGAGGGGATTGAAAAAAAAAAAAAAACGCCAATGCGAGCTGATGAAGTATAGAGTATACAGCACGTGCCAGGTAGAAACAATGGACTGCATGACGGGATGAAGCGGCTGCATCTCGCATCAAACAAAGAGATTTCATATCTTGCTGTGAAACATTTGTGAAGGAGATTATCTGCATTCATTTCTGATGCTGTGCTGAGGAGGGACCATTCTTAAGATGCAGTTATTATGGCATCAAGGGAATGTGACTATAAATTTGAGGCACATGCTTTTGTTTTGGGCAGTTTCCCTCTGCCTTGTTTGAGTGTGTCTCTGGGTTTATGTGTGCATGTCCAACATAGTCTAAGTGTGTCACTGAGTGGTGGGCATATATCTGTTTCGCAGCTCTGCCTTTGGCTTGAGGTGTCTCATTTCACTGCAGTATTTTTACCAGAACAGTTTGTACATTCCTCACAATTATCAGTCTATTAGAGGTGTTAGAGTGGGATGCCTGTGGATACACAGTGTGTGGTTTGTGGTACTTAATATTAATAATTAATTTGATGTTGCACAAAGTTGCAAAGTGCTTCACAACCAGGGAAATAGACTACCAGCATATTGAAATAAAAAAAGAAATAAAAAAATCCAAGAGTAGTCAAACAAATGAAATACAGAGTAAATAAATGATTATACAATATTTATGAAATGCTTTTGAAATTGTCTTTGTATAATACTTTGTACTGTTGATATATAACATAGACTAGACTTTGTAATCTTCCTAAAATACAAAAGAAATAACCAAACAAGCAATTTATTATGAGAAAATTGGGAAGCGTTAATATTCACAAGAGGTCTGTGAGTCCAAAAAAACCCCATACTGGCACTTGTAAAGAGTTGAATTATACAGAAGGCTTTAACAAAGTGCAGTTTCAGCACGTACTGCTTTGCATGACTGCGTCCAAACTATAGAAAGATAGTAGATACACACACTGAATGTGCTCTATTTAATGCCGTCTATAGCCAGGCAAGCCTTTTATAATTCAAATATATTGTATGTACGTGGACCTGAAGTTTTTGAGCCACACTTGTCCTTGGAGGTCAGAGTGTTTTGATTTTGCTTGATACGATTCTGTAATAATGGAGAGACTAAGCTGCTTCTTGCAAAGTTTGCTGTTATATAAGATTTTTAGTTCACTCTTCACTCTGATTGTTCCTGTAAGCGTACAGCTAAACCAGGCAGGACAGGTGATTTACCTCCATGTTGGCTTGTCTGAACTGAATGAGGCGTTTCCACGGCGCCAGGCCTCGCCGTAGCAACAGGGTCCTGTTGTAGTGTTGGCGGGCCACCTTTAGGAGCTCCTTTTGCCTTTTCAGCTGCCTTTGTCTCTCCTCTTCCCTCTACAAGACACAGAAGGTGACATTATTCAAATATTCTGCAGAGTGTCACCACGGAGGGCCGCTTCTTTTATTCTGACTCATGTCATTCAGCCTCTCTGTGAGCATCCATAAAATATAGAAAACATCTCACCTCTTTCTCCAGCCTTTTCTCCTCCCTCCGCTTTTCTGCCGCTTTGCGTTTCTCCTCCTCCTCCTCCCTCTGCCTCTGCTCCTCGGCGGCTTTCATCTCAGCCTGAGAGTTGTGTGTTCCAAAGAATTGGTGTTTCTTTTTTTAACATTACGATTTAAATACAGTTACTCCAGAAAATGGTTCACCAATCTCACCAGCTTTTCTTCTTCTTTCCGTCTCTTGAGTTCCTCGATTTCCTTCCTCCGCTCTGCGCGCTGACGTGCACGGGCCTCCATGGCTTACAGAAAGGGAGAGGAGTGAATTGAGCACAAGGTTTTCTTCAACGGTAGTCTCAGGAGTGGAAATATGCATGTTTATCTATGTCTCGCACTTCAAATTCTAAACACGTAGTGAGAAAAGTAAAACCTGGTTGCTTCTATTGGAGGTCTACAAACCTATAGGCATTTATGCCCACAAAAGCAATCTTTCAATGCGTGACTCAGAGCCATTCAATTTCCTTGACAATAGAGCTGCATCGTTCTGTTCCCGCATGCTTAAAAGAGGACGTGCTCCTTCTGTGTATGAATGAATTTGTACATTTTCTCTGCTGTTAATGAGGGAGCCTTCAGACTGACCTTTGATGACTGGATGGGGACACGTCTGCAATGTGACAGCTTTCCTTGAAGGTGCGAGCTGATTGTCAGGTTCTCCAGTAACTCTTGGTGCCCTGAAACAGAAACAATCACAACCAGAAGCACAGAGACTTAAAAAAACCATCACAACTCTGTCTGCACATCATCCTGATTCTTCACTGGCAACTTTAATTCAGAGAGGTATTGACTGAAGGCAAAATAAATCTATAAATGAGCTAAAATGAAGTGCAGAACTTTTTGCTTTTACTGAAAATGGATTCAAGGTTGTATAGTCTCCTTAGAAAGTGTATCTCATCTGAAGTCACATAAATACATCAACCATAAAAGTCCAAATATTATACTCCTTTGTTCTTTCTAAGCTTCAGAAAGGGTAAGAGCTTTCTGTAACACATCTGTTTCTTTATATCTGCTCTGATGCAATTGGTATTTAATAAGGAAAGCCTTTTAACAGATAATGGCTTTTACCCCATCATGCGAACAATAAGTGCCTGTCTCAAGCAAGACATACGAGATATTGGTTCCTTTTAACCCATGGCTACCCGCTGAGGTTTCCGCAGATGAAACATGCCAGCCTCTTCTAGCATTAGTCTCCACCGAAGTGATTATTCATCATCTGGAGAGGGGTTCAGAGCTAATAAGACATTTGGGGCTTGTGGCATTAGAGGGACAGTCTTGCATACAATGTGCCATCTTGGGAGTTTCAGTCAGAAAGGGCTGAATAAGAGGCAAGGCTACACATAATAAGATGAACGTTGATCATCTTGCTACAGTACATTGTTCTGCCCTGAAATCTTAAATCCTGGCAAACATATGGATGTTAATCTGACACATACCACCCACCTAAACTTTGTTCTAGAGCAAGCTCACGAATGCAACTCCCCAAAGGCAGCAGCTTGTCTTGGCAGATGATGTATATGCATCCTTTGGTCAGAGCTATTTCAGCACACAAGGGGATCTACGCAATATTAGGCAGGTGGTTTTAATGGTGTGGCTAATCGGTGTAGATGCACACATGAAGTGTGGACTGAATAGTCCTAAACACCTCCATGTTCCGTGCCTTTTCCTGCATAGTCTCTAACAAACAACTTTTAAATGATTTAATTTAACATGAACATTTTAAAGCTTGACTAAACTCAACTACTATTCTGGAAATCTAGGCTGGTTTTGAGGCGTACCAACAGTTTGACTGGCAGGTTGTGATAAATCTTTCTGGCTCGGGTCTGTCCTCTTCCAGCACGTCTAATTCATCATCTGACCTCTGACTTTGTGGAAATGTTATTAACTATATACATGTTTATATTTACAACTGCAGACCTAATGGTTTACTGAACCAACCCTCCATTAATGTATTAACAGCAATTAATGCATATTGGCTCATTATAGACACGCACAATCCGAAAACATTCTACTATTTATGAAGGACATATTAACATCATATAAGCAGAGTTGACGTCTTTACAAAAGTGTGAAACTAAGGGCATTTATTAATAACTTAATGTTTTTTTTTTTTTATTTAACACAAACCTGAAAGTTGATCTTTGGCCTACAAGTGGTGGATACAGCATTAGTTCATTATTAATTATTCACTACAAAATCCATGAATAACCATCGACATTTCCTTTCAACACATGGGTGACTGTGAGGTGACTCACACTCATCTAGAGCTTAGTAGCCTCACATGGTTGTGATGTGCACTGAACCTACCTCTGCTCCCTGGGGTCAAAATCACAGCTCTCTAGTCTCGAGCCTCCTCGCACAGCAAGCTGGTTAAGCTGTGCAGCTTTCTCTATGTCCAGCTCCAAGCCCATCCTGTTCTGCTCCTCCTTTAGCCGGGAAATTTGCTCCTGTTGTTCCTTCAGCAGCTTCCTCTGCTGTGTGATGATCTGCTGCTGGGCCTCATGTCTGTTTTCAAACCTGCTGCCTGGTGACGTGGTGGTTTTTGAAGAGGCGAAGCCACTGCCCTCCCCTCTTTGTCGTGCTTGGCGGAGTTCAGCAGAAGTGGGTGTCGCATGACGTCGGGTGACCTGCCAGGGCTGAGAGGGCCGGGCCACGACGGGCTGATCCTGACGTACTGCAGAGGCTTCAGTGCCTGAACTGTGGTGATCTTCCTAAATAATAAAACAGAACAGGGAAGATGAGATTATATATGGGAGAAATTGATCTATCCAAATCCACAAAGAGCTTAAGGGGGTAATATAGATTCCATAGGAGTTTCTAGAGGTGTCTTAGTGAAATTTTTATCCCACTCCAAGAATCCTGGTGTGCAGGCAGCAGAGACCTTTCAGCAAGCATGGCCTCTTTATTGACCCTTCCTCCATGAACTCCTACAACTTCATCGGCTGCTCCGCTTCTTCGCTCCCTCGAGCCCTGTTCCATTATCCTGGACCTCTCATTTCTCTCTAGCATTCTCTCCATCTACTCTGTGCCCTCCTGTTTGGCTTTCCTGCTCATATATAAATATATTTCAGCAGGAGAAGTTTCTCTTCTTCTTCTCTGACATGCTCAGAAAGGTTTGGATTGTAGAAAGAGAAAAGAACAAACATTTTTATTTAGTTTGCTTCCCAAACTTGCTCATTGCCTCATTATTTTGTCCTTCAGCTTTGCCTATTGAAGGAAAGGCTAATGTTTGAGTCATAACATCACTCAGAGTGTAATATCTTGTAAAAAATGTGATTCGTCAAGTTGTTTTAAACAGGAAACACTATTGCTGATGATATAAGGAGTTGTGAGTGCGCCTCTCACCTTCTCTGTGGTCTCAGGTTGGCTCGGTGCCTCTGGTGGGGCCATATATAGCTGATAAGTGGGGGTTTCTGTGGCCTTGAGTTTGCCTGTTGATGCAGCACTGATTAAGGCAGCCATCTTTCGTTTGGTTTCCTGCTGCCGGGCCAAAAGCTCCCGTTGTTCCTTCTCCATCCGACACCATAGCTGCCACTCACTCAGACATCGCCGTAGCAACCGCCTTCGGTCACTTTCCACGGCCAGCTGACATTGTCTGCAGGAGGTAACAGATGTGATCATATTTTTAACCCTCAATTACAGCTTGATCGGGGTACCAGGATATAAATAGTTCTCAATCAGTGAATGGCCCATAGTGATATTGTCAGTTAGAGTCTACGTTTGAATACAATGTCACTTGTGGTAAAAGGCAAGAATTGTACAACGAGAGCCAAATAGGATCCTTGAACATTTACTCTGTTTGGTTCTTGCCTGTTTTCAGTTCGGAGTGCCTCCTCTGTCCTTGCCACCTCTCCCTGCTTTTGTTTATCCCACACCACTGCTCGCCACGCTCGCCATGCCCTCAGCTGCCTCTTCCAGTCACAGAGGGCCAGTGCCTTCCCCATACGGAGCCTCCGGTCCAGCACCACTGAGTACCATCCGGAAAAATGCCTCTGCAGACACTGAAACATACACAAACACACCACAAGTTAGAGAGCACACATGGATACACAAGTAGTACCAACCTGTGCATATACCCACACACACAGTTCACCTTGAGGTTGCTCATGTGAATCTTTGCTTGAATCTTCTGTTCTTGATATAGTTGCTCAGTGTTCTTCTGCTGCTGCTTTGTGAGAAGTGTTGGGGCTGACTGTAGGCTTCTGACTGCCCTCAGTGCTTCTGCTTTTTCCCTTTCCCTGTACAAAAACATATAGCTTATACTTAGTCCATCAGTTCACCAATAAGAATGACAGATATTCTCAAAGTTTACAGCTGATATGTATTTTTCCATTTTTGTATAATATAGTGGACAAGTTCACAAAAACAAGCTGACAAAACAAAAACAACTTATATAGATTCACCACTTTCCAGCATACCTCCTAGAATTTATCTATTTGGATATTTTCTGTTGCAAATTTCAGTTTAGTTTTTAAAATAACAAGTTTCAGGCCTTTTTGTCATGCAACTTTAATGCCAAGTTATATTTCTAAAACTTTAGAAAAAAGTTTGCAATATAGTTCACCAAAAACAAGGCCTTAATTACTCAAAACCCCTCAAAATACAAAGTGAAGTTCAATCCAACCGGACATTCCAGCAAGACAACAGTAGATCTTTATTTTACGTATAAAAGCTGGCGGCACAGTGATGCAGTGTTAAGTACCGTCACCTTACAGCAAGAAAGTTCTATGTATGAGCCTGTTGTTTGGCCTTTCTGTGTGGAGTTTGCATGTTTTCTCTGTGCCTGTGCCTCCTCCCACAGTCCAAACACGTGCATAGTCAGTTATACAACCCCTACACATTTATACATCAACACTACATCTCACTAACTTTTTTGTCTTCGCTCTCTTGTGGTTTGTGTTTGTCCTCTCTGCACGTATCTGGAGGTATCTGGAGCTGCATGTTGTCATACATATATGTGGTCTAATCTGCAATAACTGGCCTCACCAACCTCTCTCAGGTTCATTACTCTGTTGTTTGTCTGATTTCTATCTGCTGTCCTACTCTCTTTCCCTTTGCTCAATTTCTTCTTGTTCTTAATCTAGTCATGGCTTCACCTTAGCTATCCTGTTTATATTGCTATCTTAACGTATTAGTCCTTGTCATGTCCTCTCTCTTCGCTGTTGCATGTTATTAACTTTGTGTCACGTCTTCTCTGATAGATTGTGCTTTGTCCTCTCTGTCCTCTCTGTCCTCTGTCTCTCTGTGTCTCGCTCAGGTATTTCTGACTCTGGAGCTGTACGAGTCTGATCTGCAGTCCATTTGTCCTGCCCATCGATCCAGTGTTTTCGATGTCTTGTTTGTCGTGTTTGTCTCTGCAATCCTTTTAACCTTACTGCAACTAAAATATCAATATCAAAATATCAAAAAATTCTAATAAAATAATTTTAAAATGGCTTTAAGTGTGGGCTGCAGGGTGGCGTAGTTAGTAGCACTGTTGCCTCGCAGCAAGAAGGTTGCCGGTTCGCGTCCCGGTGGAGGCACCGGAATCTTTCTGTGCGGAGTGCATGTTCTCCCCTTGCACTGTGGATTCTCTCCAGGTTCTCCGGCTTCCTCCCACAAATCTTGAGGTTAATTGGAGATTCTAAATTGTCCGTAGGTGTGAATATGAGTGTGCTTGGTTGTCTGACTCTAAGTGTAGCCCTGTGATAGACTGGCGACCTGTCCAGGGTGTCCCCTGCCTTCGCCCTAAGTCGGCTGGGATAGACTCCAGCCCCCCCATGACCCTAGTGAGGATTAAGCAGTGTATAGATAATGGATGGATGTTTTAAATGTGGTTTATAAATAATGGTGACTTGACTTTTACCCTCAACCCAAGCAGTCGAGGCAGATAACTGCCCTCCATAAGCCTGGGCCTGCTGGAGGGTTCTTCCTGTTAAAAGCCAGTTTTTCTATTTAGTTAAGTTAAAGTGTGTACTTTGAGTGTGAGAATACACGGTTGATGGTCTTTTTGAGTTAACCGTGTGATGGCCCGGCGACCTGTCCAGTGTGTAACTGTCTTTTGCCCAGTGTTAGCTGGAATACGCTTCAGCTCCCCGTGACCTATTACAGGATAAGGAAGGTATATCTAATGGATGGACATCTAAAATGTTTATGCCAAATATTCATGATCTTGAGGCAATGAATTTAACTGAATTCAATAATCCCTACACGGTACCACCATGAGGTTGACATTTATGGCTTTGAGTGAAATGTCTCCACCAGCTTTTTCAACTTCGTAACACTATCAACAACATTTTATTTAGACTAGAACTGGTTTATGTCAAAATACTTGAAAAACTATTGACTAAAATTCTAAAAATGAAAAAATTCACACTAAAATGTATAGATAAATACACATATGTATGATAAGAACAATAATACATACATAGAATCAATTAAAAGTCAGACTAACGTAGGTCTTAAATTTGCTTGGTGCAACCTTACAGAGTTGCTAGCATGGCTGTAGTCTTGTTTTTCAAATGTATTTGAGCCTCATTCTCTTAGTATAATATATTCATGTCATTTGTATTGCATAAAAAACAGTATATTGAATATACAGTCAGTTTCTAAATCTTTGACTTCAAAACACTTCCTCTATAATCTATTGTGCCCAAGTTCTAACTCTCTCATTATTTGTTCAAGAAGGTTCATTAGGTTTTTAAGAGCTTTAGTATCATGTGGTTTCCCTTTCAGCCTTTTTATTTCTCAACAAAAAAAGTTTACCATTAACACTATTGGCTGTAGCTGTAAAGCTATAATTTTATTTCTGAGGTGACAATCACTGATTGTGTTCCACAAAAGGTTCTCATGTCGAAAGTTTCGTTATGACACAAATACAGTGGTAAAGAAGGCTTTGGTGAGTATGCACATAGTAATAGATGATTACACAACAGCAACCTCATCCTCTTGTCCATTTATATTCTCTCCACAATTCTCTTCAAGAGCAGCTGCTGCATTCAGAGAGATGTAGCTCATTTCTTGTTAATAGGTTGCTATTAATCCATTCAGTCCACTTAAGGAGGATGAAGTGGGCCAGATCACACCAATTTTCAATATGGGGGATTGTTGCATCCACTCAAGCACAAGCCAGCGGTTGCTATGGACACCATACCTCTGTCGAACCAGCTGTTCCAGGCCTCTCCTCTCCTCCATCTGGCGTCGCAGTCTCACCATCTCCTGCTGCACCATCTCCTCCTGCCTACGTTCCTCCTGCCTCTTCCTCATCTCCATGTCTCGCTCCCTCCTCTTCGCCTCCTCTCTGGAGCCCCGCTGAGCCTCCCTCTCTCTCTGCTGCCTCAGTCTCTCAGCCTCCCGCCGGGCCCTGTTCTCTCGCACCTTAAGTGGATTTCAGAGGCAATTAGTGTAATTGAGAACATAACTTGGGAGCCCATCGTTCCAGCTGACTCGCTATTCATGGTGACAGTTTTCCATCCCACAGCATTCACATCTCTCATGCAACCTGAGAAATTTAACACGCACTTTGGTCACATACCTGTTGGTGTCGTGCTTCCATGGTGATGATCGGGTTTCTCAATTTCTTCCTCATTTGCTGAGCATCCAGTGCCAACTCCTCGATCATCCCGGAGTCCAACACATCTTGCTCCATTAGGCCTTGTAGGAAGCTGTTTACAGCAGATTGTTCTTCTTCCTCAGCCAAGCGGTTATAAAAATCTATGAGTTTTTGCAGAAGTGAGTGAGAAAGAAGTAATATTTCACATTAACTAGAAATCATTTGTACTTGCAACACATACACCATGGTGTCAAAATGAATGTATTCCAAGTTAAGATAGATAATCTGTTGTATTAAATGTTCATATTGTGTATTTTTATCTGTATTGTAATGCAGTTTAACATATGAAGAGTTCATTGGCAAAAACAGATAACTCCATCTTCACAAACCTTCAGAAAACCCACTTTTCCATCGTCTACATGAGACAATATCAATCAAACTTCTCTATTTTTGTCATGTCATTTCTACTGAGTCAAATCCACTCAACTTCAATTTGATTGATATTATCTCAAGCAAACAACAAAAAAATAAGTTTTCTGAAAATCTACAAAAATGGAGTTATCTGTTTTGCAAATGAACTCTTCATATGCACACACTAATATACATAGGCAAGACTGAGGTGAAGAGGGTGAAAACCTTCAAGTTCCTTAGTGTCCACATCAGCGAGGCTCTAATCTGGTCTCACAACACACACTACACCATAAAGAAGGCCCAGCATTTTCTGAGAAGACTGAGGAAGTTTGGCATGCCAGACAAAATTCTGTGTAACTTCTACAGGAGCACAGTCAAGAGCGTCCTGAGCAGCTCCATCACCGTGCAGTACAGTAACTGCACAGCTCAGGACAGGAAAGCTCTCCAGCGAGTGATTAAAACAGCCCAGGTCGTCTCTGGTGCAGCCTTCTCCACACTGCAGGCTTCCTACCAGATCAGGGTCCTCAGGAGGGGCCCGCAACATCATTAAGGACAGATCACACCCTTAACACAGCCTCTTCACACTCCTGCCATCAGGTAGGCGCTATGAAAGTGTGAAATCCAGAACAACTAGGGTGACAAACAGCTTTTGCCGACAGGCTATCAGGCTTGTGAATGACTCTCTTACACCCTCACATTGAACTGGACCATTACTGAATCTTATACACACACATAATGTACAACCGTTTAACTCGATGCAGTATGCACTTTATGATCAATACTATAAACACTTTACCACCACCATGGTCACTTCATTCAAACCAAAATCTACAAATGCACAGTCCACTTTACGACCAATGCCGTTATCAGTTTAAGTATGTTTATCTATTTAGAATTCCTTTAGTTTTTCTACATCTTGTGCATTTGGTTAAGGGGGATTGACAAAGCAAGAATTCCCTTGTAGAATATAACTGTCTAGTTTTCGGTGCATATGACAATAAACCTCTTGAATCTTGAATCTTCAACATAAAGTCTGTTTACTAATCTACTCATTTTGACCCTAGTGAGGATTAAGCAGTGTATAGATAATGGATGGATGGATGGATGGATGGATGGATGGATGGATATCAAAAGTAAACATCTTGATTCGCAGCATGGCACAGGAAGTTAAATCTGAACAGGCCATGACTGATTAAGATAAAAAATCTCTAAGTTATTAAAATAGTCTTCATACCATCGAAGTTGTTGTAGCTCAGAGCAGAAGGCTGAGCACTAGCCAGTGCAGCAGGGCTTGTTTTCTCAACAGAGCACATTAGATCATCTTCGTCCTCCATCTCCAGCTCCAGCCGCAACTTACTGTTCAACCAGTCACCTAAAAGAGCCTGAGCTGCAAAAAAAAAAACAAAAAAACAACCAACAATTCACACATCCCTATCAGGCTTCTTGCTGCACAGCCTCGATGCCATTATATAGGTAGCACTTCTACAGAGATATGCCTATGAGTTATTCATGAGCTGACATACCTTCACTGTAAGCATCATCATGATCTCTCAACTGTTCAGAGCTTTGCAGTGGTACAGCCAGACTGCTGATTCCTGAATGAGGTTTCTTGTGGGAGAAGACTTCCGATACAGCAAACTCAGAGGCCATCTCCACCCGCTGAGGACAAGAAATAGGATAATTAGAAGCAAGGCTGTAGCTAATTTGTCTCTAGTCTCAAACTTAAAAGACAATGATTTCCAATAAAACAGTGATGAAAATATGTACAGACTGCTGCACCAACACAAGATCGTCTTACCTTTCTCCACTGATCGATGTCGCCATTCTTCTCACGACTCTGGTATTGAAAGAAAAATGATTTTAAGTGTAAGCTGATATGTTTGTGAGAGAGACCAAAGGGCACACAGAAATGTTGCTCTCACAGCGACCTTTGCCTGCTTAAAAATGCCAAGACAAGCTGAGAGGCGGCTTGAGCTGCAGGCGCGGTGTGCAAATTGGCGGCTGAGCCAAGGGCCCAATATCTGCGGATTATTTCACAGAAAGCTTAGCCAATGCCTTAAATCAGCAGATTACTTCGAAATCATTTTCCAGACGTCCAAAAGTCGCTGCTTTACCAGCAGCAATTCAGCTATCTCTGTCTCCGGCAGCTGCAAGTATATGAATATCTGAGAAAGGCCAAAAGTCCATGCATTGTATTAACATGGATGTGCTTCTCCATCATTCATAGGTGCAGTGGGGCACTTTTTACAATTGTGCTTTGCCTCTTCGGAGGGTTGATAATGCTGGGAAAAGGTTTGAAAGGTGAAACAGATTTAGGAAAATATTTTATATTTCCCATTTAGATAAGAGAAAGTGTCTAAATGTGCACCGTGGAATTATTCACTGGAACAGGTATAGTTTCGTTTCTATTTTCCTAATAATGAAGTCTAAACCAACCATTACAGATGCAGTAGATCTCTCAGTTTAGTAATCCAAAGACTAGACTTACCTTGCCTGCAGATCCGTGCCTTCTCCACCTAAACAGGTGAGGATTGTGACCTGGGAATGTCATTACTACTCGTTAGACTGCTATACACGACTGTAATGTAACCTCAAATAGCAATTTCGTATCTGGTTACCATTTCTTTGCTAACACAATATACGCAGATCACAGTTACAATAAACTATTTTTGATTTCCATCGTTAAAAGTTCCTACAAAGAGCTCTCGCTTTTCACATAACAGTTGTTGAGTTGATCATATAGGATTCTGGGTAATGTAGTAGATTAAGCACACTTCACGGCAAAATGTCGCGCAAGTGAAGTCTTTCGGAACTACGTGTCCCACCTGACTTAGCTCTGATTTCGGCGTCTCATCGGTAACCATAGCAACAGTGTTCACCTTTCTAAACGACATAAAATAATCTTTTAAATCGAATGCAATGTAAAAATACGACTTAAGAAATCTAAAAATTACATATAATGAAGAATTTTATAAACCATAACACAGGAATACAAAAAAAGTAGGCTCAGTTTGTAGTCATTTTTTAATCGCTGCCGTCGCACTTGATGACGACATATTTCCACGACTTGTAGTTCCCGTTTAGCAGTTTTGCGGGTAAGCTGAAATAATTATTACAACACACATAATTTAAGCAAGCACAACGGCGAACGTGTAGGTTTTCTTAAAACGTATCACTAAAGAGCAAGAAATATATAAAATTGGCGAAAAGCGGACTGAAGCTGTAACACGTGAGTGGCTAGGCTAACTAGCTACGTGGCTAATTCCCATGCTTTTTGGTTACAATCTGCGCTTGTAGCTAACTTTAGCTAACTGTCATTCAAACTTTTAGTGAGTTAGGTGTTGTAGTGTAGTGCGTTGATTCTGTTTAGAGCACTTCGACTGGAGCTATTCGAATGGCCGGCAGCAGGATGCAGCTGGAGCTGTCCCGTGTAGTTCAATGCACAAGTCGGCTGGGTGTCCTGAAGGGACTCGGCAGGACCGGGCAGCGCTCTCTGGAGGTACCGGGGTGTCTGCTCTACACACACTTTGGGACGGTCCCCCACCTCACCCAGGACACGCTGCACACGATGAGCAACCTGCCCTCTGTCACTCAGGTCACTCTGTCCAATATGTAAGCTGTGCCCATCACGAACAGTCCCACACACACTCAACTTTATATCAAATCTAACTCAATCTCCATCATCTCTCCCTCTAGAGCAGAGCACCAGGAAGTGTTGGAGGAGTTTAAGGATGGATTCAGGAAGTTTGCAGGTACACATCTACATTTTGCTGTCTTTTCTTTTAGTGCCATTTATGATACTGATAATCAAACCAAAACCAAAAGACAGAACTGCATTTCAGGAATGTATTATGCTGTTGTCATATAGAGACTGATTGAAAACTTTGTCAATATGAGAGTTAAGAAACCACTTTCTGATGTCATTTGCTTTCTTGTTTTACATTGAAAGTTACTAATTAACTGATGTGACCAATGCAGGTACATTTACCATTTTGGTAATTAGGATGAACATCGCTCAAAATAGTCCAGGGGAGAAAATACTGCAATGTTTTTAAGGGGACATGTCACCTAAAGGCAAAACGTTCAGTTTATCTAGTACTTCAATACTGAAAATTCGATATGTGTGATGATTATTTATCCATCCAAAGACAATTCTGGTTTAATAAAATATGCTTTGTGTGTTATTCATCTACCAGTTCCTGTATTTTGGTAGTTACTTAAGTGGTCACGTTCTGTAATGTATCCAAACACAAGATGATGTCACTGCTGCAAATATCCAGCTTTGAAACAGAAAAATCTCCCTGATACAAAAAAACTTGAAATGAAAGAAGAATACTTTGACTCTATTTAACAAATCAGAAATAATGTTTAACTGTGATGGAACACAGGATTCAACTGTTTAACAAATGATTTAACTGTTGCTGGTTAACTAATTATGTACACAGTACATACAAATATCATTAATGAATGAAGTTACCACTGTGTTGTGTTGCATGCTTAAATGGAATCATATGGATCCTGCTGCAGGTATTTAATGAAGCCAAAAGAAAGACTCCTACGCACTGAATTTACGCTTCTGTTAACACTTTGAGGCCTGTGTGTGTGTGTGTGTGTGTGTGTGTGCGTCCGTCCGCACCTCCATCAACTAAAGGCACAAACTGTATCTTTTGCACTCTTTGTTGTATTTATGGACTGGCACATGGCTGACTGTATGCCGCTGTGCAGAGCTGTTATGATCATCTAATGCTGCTTTTACTAGCATGTAGACATCATGGTGGTATTCACTAAAACTTGTACAGCACAGTTTCTGTGAATGAACTTAACCTGTCAGTTCTGGGCGTGCCCACAGTTGTGATCGGTCAATGGAGGTGCCTCTGCTCAAGAGTAAACAGGTGAAAACAAGAAAAATAGGGAAAAGAAGTTGGGACTTTCAATCAGGACTAAGAGCATTGATTTGACATTAATTACGCTGACACACACTGCTATTCAAATGTATTCATATATGTTCAGGATTGATTGAAGATAATCTATCATCAGGTTTTCAACTAACTTTTGAGAGTCATGTGTTTTATATATATTTATGTGGTCCAGCTATATTTAATCTTTAGATATATACAGCTGTTTTAAACAGTTTGTTTCATTGTATGACTTGACTATGTGCAGCTAAAGGCAGTTTAATGCAAATTATATAGATGGCTGATGGTAATGTGTGGATCTGATACTTGATATTGGTCAACACACTGGACCAAATATGAGAATAAATGATTTGTAAGTCGTTGTCAGTTCTTGCCTGAAACAATATAAAAATGCTTCCACACCATGGGCATGAGGTTGTAAAGCTGAGTTTAGAGTTTGAGAGTATTTCACTATGGGGAATTTATTCTGCAGCAAGAGTTGACATAACAACCGAATACAAAGTTGCGGCAACAATAAATCACTAAACCAATGTTGGAAATGGAAAGTCATACCCAGCAGATATGTGCAAGAGTGCAAATGTACAGATGTGGATTCAGGCACAGTGCTGAATGCGATTTCCTATATCAATAACACATGGAATGAAAGAGACCTGAGGGAGGATGGTGCTGACAGTCCAATATAGCATTAGCTCTCCCATGGAGCTGCCGTGTATGAATGATGTTATAAATAAATCTTCTTGTCCACGTCATCAAGCCAGAGGGAGATTTGAAAAACTAAAAATGTATCCGTTTATTCCAGCTGTAAATTAAAGCCTTGTAACAACATTGTAACAATGAGCCAGTGACGCTGATGTTTTTGAACATTTTCTAAAAATTCTCATCTGCAACTCTACCAGATTTGAAATGAAAGCCACACTTATTGTAGTCATAGTGGCACTGGTTTGTCTTTATGTCACGGTTGGCAGCCTTTTAAAAAATGAATCCTGTTTGGGTTTTGTTTTGTTTTTTTAATAACAGATACAGGGTCCCCCAGGATGGAAGGGGTTAAGAGAAAGAAATAAGTATTGGATTAAACGTGTGCATGTGACTGTAAATATGTTTCACACAGGAGACTTTGTCCTTCCACTTAAATGGACCCTGCTTTCTGCTACGTTCACGCTGTGTCCGCATCCTTAACTGTATTATTGGTCGTCATTTAACACATATCTGCCTCTGTCAGGGGATAAATTGGGATTTGTGAGGAGGGGGAGCCCTTATCCAGTGAGGCTGGGGCTCACACACTGAACAGCAGAAACAGGGATGATTTCTTCAGTAGAAAGTAGTTCTGCATGGAACTGTGCGCATTGTGTTCTGTTGATGCAAACAATAACAGCTCTGCTTCTGGAAAATTGTCTCGGAGCTGAAATTTCTGAATGTTAGTCTTTATTTTTGTACCACAAACTAAATTCTATTACCTTTCATTGTATTGGTGGCATTTCATTTAGATATCTCAAATTAAATCTAACTGTCTAAACAGACTATTCCACAAGGGAGAAGCCAGAGCATGTTCACTTTTGTTTTACTTGCTTTGTATAATAATATGACACCTCACTTATATAGACCTACATCCAAATAACCGTTTTTTATTATCATGATCATTTTCATTAAAATTATAATTCAGGAAACACTGACTTTCCTGCTGTACATAAAAACAGACGTATCTTCGAATTGACTCAGCTAACCAATCTACAGTAACTTATGGGCTGAGTATAATAAATTGTTTCCATAGGCTGACTCCATGTTGCCTTATCTTGTATGTATTTAAGTGATAAGATCAGTTCATGTGTGCAAGTACTGCCACTACTGCAAATGTTATTGCATATAAGCAGCAAAACTGAAAACTCTCCATAATAATCCACTCTATATGCATGAAAAACTTGTGCAGAGGAAGTAATATTTGCTGAAAATATATATGTATCAACAACTGTGATGGTGCTGGATTGGTCCTGAGCTCGATTTAGCGATTTAGCAGCTCAACTGTTCTCCTGCAAAAGTGTTCAAATTAGTAAGCCTACTTACGATGACAATGAAAGAACAATGAAGTCGCCGGTAAACTGTGCACAGCCCTTCTCTCCATTTTTATCTATCCTGCAGCTGTGTCATGCTACACGGTCAAAGAAACAAAGGCAACTTTCTCCATTCGTTTGCTCAGTGCGACGCTGTGTCTGAAAGCTGATTTCAAGTTAGTTTGTCATGCCATGATACCGAAGGAGATGAGCCTGAGCTCCAGTGCGGTGTGATATGAATTTAAGGAGGTGCGGAGTTCAGCTCCGGCGGGCTCTGGCCCAAGTCAACCCTTGGCCTCTCTCATTGGCAGAACAACGAGTAAAATCTCACCTGAATCACTCATTTCCAAGTCGGAGGCTGTAGAGGAGGAAAGGGGCTGTTTGTTGAACTAACGGAATTAACCTTGTTGCTGTTCTGCCCCAATGTGGTTGTCATTTAATCCTTTGCAGGAGTCTTCTTTGAATAACAACCACACCAGAGGAACCTGAGCTAACCTGAAAGGCTGAATGTAGAGTTCAATATTGAAAAGCTGATTAACTCTGTGAGCTTGACTTAAAAGTAGCTTTGCTCTCTGTAATGTTTAAACAAATTCCCTAGAAGAGAGATATCATTTGCTTTGTTGTACAACAGTGGCACTAAACTTTACTCTGCCTCGGGCGACCAGATTTGAAATTAGAAATGTAATCACAGTAGTGTCACTTGTTGCAAACTGTCAGGGGATTACTACAGAGCTGTCTCCAAAGCCCCAGGAGGGAAGAGCAGTGATTGAATTATTACAATTAATGACAGAATTTGCTGCCATTAGGTCTTTGTTTTCTCACCTTTTGATCCTGTGCTGCAGCTGGGTTTGCTGATAAGGCAACACCTCAGCTCTCTCTCCAGACTCATGCTGTCACAAAGCTCCTCGCTCGGGCACCTTGCTTCGTGCTCGGCCCTCGCTGACTCTAAACTCTTTGCCAGGCTTTGTTCTCTGTGAGTGACGCAGTGTTTTCTGCTTTTCAGGTCTTCACGACACTGTGTTGTACTGCTCGCTTCACGACCCTGCGATGCTCTGCCCGACAGGTTACACAACCAACAAGGTGAGAACGGGGCTTCTGCATAGCGGGTAAAGCAGCACCAAGTAGCACTGACCTTCAGTCAGACATTGGGGGGAGATAATTGTTTCTGCTGCAGGTGTTTATTCAAGACAAAGAATCTGACAGCTGCAGGCAGCAAACAGCACATCAGTAGGTCTATTAGTGTTTCTGGAAAATAAATCCTTAATTACATTTAGTGACACCGGAATGGTATTTTTTTATGTTTTAGGCATTAATCTAGCATGAGAGCTGCCTGAGTCACATTAATAGCTGTAGTTTGACCCGTGGGTGGCGTAATGTTATCTGGACACAAGCCGGGGCTCGATCACCTCTAGCTGGGTGATGGTGAAAAAGAGCCGATACACCAATGACCCCAAGAAGAAACATCAAGAAGATGTACTGCATGTTTAAAGAAGTGTGATACATGGCCTACAATAGTGAAAGAAGCTCAATACACGAAAGTTGATTTGTGAGGTTGCAGAGCTCTGTTCACCTCTGCTGACTAAAAACACACAAACTGAGGCTTTTGAATGCCGCAGCTTTCATTCTGGACCGAAATGTGCAGAAATGTGAAGAAAAGCTTCGTTCACTGTGAAAAGTAACCTCAGCGCCTGTAACACATCCATGTGTCTTGTGAAGCGCAACAACATATTCACCCCTGATGTGTCACGTTAACCTCCTCTTTGTCACATTGGTTTTGAGGATCAGGAAGAAACCAGATCTACAGAACAAACCCAAAGCTTTGGAACCAACCACAATCTTTATTTGAGAGGTGTCACACAGGCATGTTTTCCTGAACAAGCAGAAATAACGTGAAAATAAACAGGAAATACCAACTGACAGATCTGTTAATTGGGTTCACAAAAAGAAGGCTATGGTGCATTTAGCCTATTTTCTGTTGTATATTAAGGGCGAACCAACCCGCCAGACAACAAGTGGTTGCATTCTAGCAAAGCATCCCCTGAAAATTTAGTTTTTCCTGACCACCAGTGGTTGCATTTCTCATTGTGCTGCTGTGAAGAACATTTGCACTCCAGGACATCACTGTTGAGTGTAGGTTATGGGTACCAAAGGTTTCTGACCACAGCACAAAGGTGAAAAGTTGAAACTTAAGTGGAGATATTTCACTTTTATCATATTCTATCCAAATGAGTGGTTCACTTGTACAGAGACAGGATCCTTTAATGACTTGTGCAATAGGTATCAAGCTATAGGTGCATATATTTTACTTCTGTTTTATATGTGGGTCATTCTGCCTCAATTCGCCGAATGCCCCCACACCGGATCATCTCCAATTTGACAGATTTTTCTTTTTCTTTTTTGCAATATTGATGAGCTGATGAGGTGTAAAATCTGGAGTCATGGGTAACACTGGTTTTGGAGTTTTTAAAGAAGAGGGAGTCATGTTGAGTTTTGCGCCGTTTTCTTCGTGCCAATCTGTGGAGCAATGTTTGAAGTGGCGTAACTTGAGAAATAATGTAGCTTGAGTCGTGAAATTTTGCAGGCTTATTGATATGTACACATAGTCTTCAATGGTAAAACCATGCTTTGATAAAATAATACAAACCAAATATATGATGGTGCAAACGTGGTCATTTGTTTGATATTCCACCAAACATAAAATCTTTCTTTTTCACTATGAGAGGCTTTTCCCCTGTGATTGGCACCAATAGAAGCTTTAAAATGTAGAGTATGAGGAATACTTTATGAGGAAAAAATCAAAAGTCATATAATATTGTTACTGGGCTGAAAAAAAGTATGGTTTCCCAACTCATAGTCCTTCAAATACTTTTATGAAAAATGGTACCATAAGCAATCACGTGTATGTTTTTGATTTCTTTATATAGATCAACTTTTGACTCAAAAACTAATGTTGCCTATGACCCCAGATTCGACACATTTTACTTTATAACATATGCATGCACAGAAAATATGACAAAAAAAGAAACGGTCCTGCGTGAACTTTTTTTTTCATTTTGGTAAATTGAGGTGGAATGACCCACATTGATCATCTCATCAGATTAAGGTACATTTCTTCATACAGTTCATTCACATGACAATTGCCATTCAAGTCTTACGTAGTTCGAGAGTTTTCTTGTAGCTTTTTCTGTGTGAAAACTTTGAAAGAAATGTTCATTCTGAGCACAAACTCCCTTTTTTGCCAGTGTCAAAAGGTTAACGGACAAATGTCTCCTCAGATGAAAAATGTCTTCCTGTTGTCATCAGACAGTGTCGGTGTGGGGCAGCGGTGGGCGGATGGAGCTCACAGTGGCCAAGTTCATGGCTCTCCAGAAGAGCGTGCAGCCCGACTGGTACCAGAGCATGGCGGACGGAGAGACCTGGCAGAACAGCACGTCTCGGAAAAGGGTTCGAAAGTCAGTGGATCGAACTCTCGCTCACTTGGATGAGTGTCTGCTGGTGCACCAGAAATCACAGGTACAAACACATTAGGCACGCGCTGCTTTTCTCTTACCGCCTCTAAACTCTACCTTTGTGAATCTGTCATGCACAGCACTAGCACACGAGACAAAGATGGATGTTTGGTAGTTTTTGCGGTCACAGGGTCCACAGTGTAGCTGCGGCGCGGCTGGAAACATAGTGAGATGGGACGAATACATTATCAGTGGGTCCATACTTTATCAGCAGGGGTGTAAGGGAGCGGCATCAAGCATGGCTAATGAAATAGTCTGGTTTCCTTTCTTTTAAATGCAGTCAAACGCTACCTCATTTCATGATAGAGAGAACAGATTGAAAAAGATTCAAATGAGGGGAACAGCAGAGGTGCCATGAGTGGTTAAACGACACCTTTATTCAGTTACGCTTCAGAGGAGATAATGTTATTTAACCGCACCGCTTTAGCCCGAGGATATCAACAGCTTCATTTATTGCCAGGACTTTGTATTTTCTTTGTTTGCATTTGTTACTTCCACTTTTGTGTGTCTTTTCACCATTTTTTTTATGTGATTGTTTCTGTTTTTCACCTGTTTCTTTGTTAAACGCTGTAGTTATTTGCTGTTTTATTTCCTGAATGCAAACCAAGTGCTTCTTGCGGAAATAAATGTAATGTGTGGAATCACGTCGAGCACGGAGAACTGACAGCGTGCTGAAAGTAATTCTCCATCAGCGTCGTACACAGTGAGCTGCTTGATTGCTACGACGTTCCCCAGCCCCCCGCTGTGTCTTTCATCCTCGTGATGTGCCGTCAACTTCATGTCGAGTCATCAGATTCCAGATGGGCTGTTTCGAGAATAAGACCCTTTATTTATATATTTACTTATACACTTGATTAAAAATCCGCTTTGCCGCCACACATCTCATCACGCACCGGGTGCGGTTATGAATTTGTGGCTTTTATTTTTCAACTTCTGTGTTTCAGCTTCCCTTCACTCCTTTTCCGTCCACTTGCTCCTCCTTTGATGTTTCAGGAGTTTTTTTGTCAGTTGTTAATCATGAAACTGTCTGTCGTTGCCAGGAGTTGGACGGAGTAGAGGTGTTCGGGGTGGTGGAGGGAGGAGACATCTTGGAAGAGAGGGTACGCTCAGCCAGAGAGACAGCCAAGAGGCCCGTGGCAGGATTCTGCCTGGACGGTCTCCAGACGGGCTCCATGGATCAGAGCCTGAGGACTCAGCTCATCGCTGCTGTGAACAAGGAGCTACCTGAGGACAAACCCAGGTTTGCCTGCTTATGATGGTGTAAAATGTGAAGTGATTACAGTTCTAAGTGTTTTTTTTTCCCCCTCAGAGTAATCATGCCTTCTTTTTTAGAATTTAATTGAAAAGCAGTCACCGAAGACAGTTAGTCATCTAGAACAAACAGAAAGAGCAGTAGTGACGGCTAAACAAAGGAACAGTACTGTCTAAGCTGCTGTTTTCCTTTGGTGACATTACTAAAAGCTGCGTAACATAAAGGCGAGCTGTTTGTTTATCGACCAGCTTAAGATCTGCCTGTTGATGCTCTGTATTTTGCTGCAGGGCTACAACTAATCATTGTTTTCAGCCCCAATTAAGCTTTTGATTTTGACTGATACGACGCTCCACACCATTTTGAAGAGATGTTTACTTCAGGCTGCCAGCAACAATTATTTTCACTATTGATCTGTCGATAATTTTCTCAGTTAATTGTTTGGTTTATAAAACATCAGAAAATCCAAAGGGATCTATTAAAATGTCTTGTTTTCTTAAATATATTAAACTTACAATGATATAAAACAGAAAAAGGCAGTAAAACGCCATACTAATACCAGTGACATTTTTGTTTGAAACGTGGCTCAAATGATTTAAAAATTTGTTTCCAAATCATTTTCCGTTGCTCATCTAATCGATGAATTTACCGATTGTTACAATTCTGATTTAATTGATGATGTAAAATGGAAGAAAGCGAACAACTACCTGCACTATTTGTCAAACTCTAACAAGGAGATGCTCGATGTTACCACAGTGTCATTCATTAAGTCTTTTCAGCTGATAGATAAATAAACTATTAATTTATTTGATTTCTATCTGCTTTGTTTTCGTCGCCGTTTGTGTGCAAAACAGTGTGATTCAGAGGCTGAGCAGGCGCAGTTGGTGGATTCTACTCAATCAATTAATTCTCCTGCTTGATTGATTATAAGTGAAAACCCTGCTGGGTCTTCGTGCTCCCCGACCACATCCGCAGTCTGTCAGCAGTCATTATCTCAGCTCGACCTGAAAACACAAGTGTCAGTTAGTTTGTATCCATTTTACCTCTTTTCATTGCATTTCTCCAATTCTTTGCAATGCCTGATTTCTTTTTAATTTACTTGCATTTTTTTCACATTTGAAATCCAAAATCTAAATTGCAGTTTAAATTGAAAAACGAAGGAGACAGAATATTATTTTGTTATGGAGAAATGGGTTTCTCCCTCACTGATAGCAGTGAGAGCAGACGATACAGTCTCTAGCACCGAGCTCACACTATATAAAGATAAACATTACCGATTTTAAATCGTCTGACAACCATGTAGTTAGTTGGTTTCCTTCATTTTATATTTTTGATTGAATCGAAGCTGAAACCATTCGTCAATTTTGCAAGAAACAGAAACTCGTCAAGTCAGTTTTATTTGTGTCGCACTAACGGGTGCACAAATCAATGCTTTTGCTTCCATGTTTTACTATAAATCTTTACATCAAAATAAGTTTTAGAATAAGCTTTATCTACACCAGAATTCAGTATATCTCAAATAGGCTATATATAAATAAAATGGGACCTACAACTCCAATAGACATGACAATTTACCAGTATTACCTGAATGTCTCACATGCAGGCTACAGTAGGCGCTACCCAGGCAGGCGTGCACAGAGAAGCCTCTAGTCTCCGCTCAGTTACTGCAGCGCACATAATTCAGACAGCTGTGTGACCAAAAACTACTTTGAAAAGAGTGAAAATACAGATCTTCTCAAGTCAAGAAATTTCATCTGCATTGGTGGTTGTATGCATGAGTGAAATATTGCGGTTGATCGTGTTAATTTAAGTGTGGAAAGCCAAAATCGTGATTGTTATTTGATTCATTGTGCAGCCGTTGTAGCACATTTCATACACAGGTAAACTCGATGTCCATCCATCCATCCATCCATCATCTATACACCACTGAATCCTCACTGGGGTCATGGGGGGCTGGAGCCTATCCCAGCTGACTTAGGGTGAAGGCAGGGGACACCCTGGACAGGTCACCAGTCTATCACAGGGCTACACTTAGAGACAGACAACCAAGCACACTCACATTCACACCTACAGACAATTTAGAATCACCAATTAACCTCAACATGTTTTTGGATTGTGTGGGAGGAAGCTGGAGGACAGTTAAGATAGGATAAGATAAGATATGATAAACTTTATTTGTCACATACACAATTGTACACAGTACAATGCGTAGTGAAATGTCCTTGGACCCGGAGAGAACCCACGCTGCACGGAGATCATGCAAAACTCCACACAGAAAGATCCCGGGTGTCCTCACCGGTACGCGAACCGGTGACCTTCTTGCTGCGAGGCAACGGTGCTCATCACTGACGCAGCCCTAAACTCAATGTGCTTTACATTAAAACCTAGAAAAACATTTTACAGATAAGACAGAAAACCTGTACTTTCATATAAATACACCCATACAACATGCACACACATGCAGAAAAAACCCAGTTTATCTCTATTGCAGCATTCACACGTGAATTACAGGCACATGCACACACTAACTACCAGGCCTGAGAGGAAAGAAATGTTTTAAGACTGCTTTTAAAAGAAGATACAGGTGCAGGAGATCTCAGGTCATCAGGCAGTTTGTTCAGAGAATAATGCCGTAGAGACAAAATGCCCCTTCGCCTGATTTCACCTTAATTCCTGGTACATTCAGGAGAAACATGAAGATGATCTGGGGACCTGAGTGGGCTGTAACCAGTGAGCAGGTGGAAAATATATTTGGAAGGCACATCTTCTAAGGTTTAGTAAACAAGCAGTAATAATTTCAGATCATTTGTATGCTATACCCACAGCCTGTTGGGTGTTTTCAGGTGTAATTTGTTGATAGTTTAGTAGATATTTTAATAGGCAGGTCATCATCCTCTGGTTGTAGTTTCTGAAATGTGAGGATTTGCTGTTTTTCTTTTTGTTTATTTGCTTTACATCATCACAATGTGGGTTTTGTACTGTTGGTTGGTCACCTTGGACTTTGTGAGCTTGAGGAAGGGATTTTTTTTTGTAACTTTTGGACACTGATTGAAAATGAACATCAGTTGGAGTCCCACACAGAATGCTGCAAGCAGATTACCACATTATGATAAAACAGAAACTTTGACATTAAGCTTATTTAGCAGCTTGTAGTCCAGTGGAAGGGGTTGTATGATATAAATTAGTTCCTTTGAAGATCTTAAAAACTGCCTTCATTACTCTGCAGCGCACTGGCCGGGAACAGTCTCTCTCTTTTTGTTATAAGACGAAGGACAAACTTCCTCCAGAAGTTGTTGGTTCTCCAAACTAAATCGACTTTTGAAAGACTTCTCTCTGGACACTCCTCTTCTGGAGATAATGGAGGAGCTCTGCTTGCGGCTGCGAGGTTGAGAGAGCGGAGCTGTGAGGCGCAGCAGTCTGTAACCCAGAGCTCCCTGAGAGCTTTACTAAGTTTGCTTTTGAACAGGCTCATCTCGAATACCGTGGGGTACCATCCCCGCTGGTTGCCCTGGCTGTTTGGGGAGGCATCTTCCCACTGGAAAGTGGAGAGGAGTCATTATCGAATGCTAAATTGGGCTTGACCTTGACGCCTGCAGGCAGAGAGTCAGAGGAGCCTGTCAGCTGAAAGCCCGCGAAAAGTGTACGCACCATCACTCGTGGGTGCTCGTTGTTGATTGAGAGAAGACTGCTGCTGGTGTTTGTGTGTGCCTCTCGTCTGGTAGTAATGGGTTGTAGGCATGTCACATTCATGTTTACGATTTTTTCAATGCTTTCTCTAGCGAGTCCTGCTGTTCCAGTGTGTATATTTATTGACTGTGTTTGTTTGTGTGCGTCTCTCAGGCTGCTGCAGGGTGTCGGGCGACCTGATGAGGTGCTGGCATGCATTGAAGCCGGGGTGGACCTGTTCGAGAGTTTTTTCCCTTTCCAGGTGACGGAGCGCGGCTGTGCCCTTTGCTTCAGCTTTGACATCTCCCCGGACCCGGAGCGCGCAGGTAGAGCGCCCCCTGCAGGTGATGGTGAAGAGCTGTGCTCAAAAATAGTTAGGATTTTTTTGGGACCTTACAATTATCAGCTGAAGGTACAAAAGTTTAATAGAAAGTTTAGCTTCCTTAGCAGTTGCAGTTCACATTGATCTATTCATTCAAACTCCATTAATAAAACAGTTTATTCCAGCGTTAATCATTAAAGTCTTTGCTTTCCACTTGTACACCAGCATGATTTTAATGTTGCATGTAGCGTATCAGCAGGTATAGATCAGGCTTGGTAACTTTCCGCTGCTTTAGCATTCCCATCTGATTTACATCAGCCTCTATTACAAATGCATTATTTCATACTCTGCAGCACCCACGTTTTTCCTGAGAAAACAGATTTCTTGTACTTATTAAGCCGTAACCTGTACCTGTCATTCCATGTTCAGACATGCAGCATTTAAACCAAAGGACACCCGAGGATTAATTTCAAATATAAAAGGGGACAAAGGGGGGGGCACAATGAGACATTTTAGAATTTGGCAGCATTTATTTTTACAATCCTGCTCTTGTAAAAGCAAATGACCTTTCAGGTAAAAACTACCTTGCCCAAAGCCACAAAATGACATTTTTAAATGCACGTGCGATAAAAGAAATTACCCCCCAAAAAGATGGAAAGCATTCCACTGTAAGAGCTTGCAGTTTGTGCCTAAAGCAAACTGACATGTCACTGTGTAATTTAGAAGTTTGGGTAGGGGGTCTAGATTACAAAGACCCCTGAATGAAATGTGATTTCTGTGCATGAAAGCCGTATGGACAGCACAATGAGAAAAGACTGAAGGGTATAAATATGGTGGGATGTCATGCACAGAGAAGTAATAATGTCAGTGTTTTAGAAAGAAGGGAAAGGGCCACTTTGATGGTTTTAATGCAGTTAACTGATAAAATCGAACCAATAATTAGCACAGCAGGATTTGTTAATTTCTATGAGGAACCTGCGATGTTGAATTTAAAAGGCATGCAGAGTTTATGCTCCTGGTTCTTACACAAATGTAGAGGGGGCATTCGTCTCCCACTGCTGCCCTGAGAGTTACAACATGTTTAATCAGACTTTAATGGTTCAGTGCAGAGTGCTGTCACCAAATGAACAACCCTTCATCTAGTTTCAATTTGGCGAGCAACAAGGGCACGTCTGACAGCTGCTCGAGCCTGTTCACTTAATGAATGGGAAACAAGTGTGTGTCTGCGTGTGGATGTGGTGATCATGTCACCCTGCAGATGAGGCATTTATTTTGCATTAACATCAGACGTGCTTATAATGGATGGTGAAATTATGTATGTTGTGTGTGTGTGTGTGTAAAGTAGCTGGTGTGCACTTTGGAGTCCCAGATCAGTTAAATAATTGGTTGGAGAGAAATACAGGTGGTGAAATAAAATCAATGGTGTGTCTCTTAGCAGCTGCAGCACGGTAACAATTAAGTCTGAGTTCCTGATCTTGATTGTGGTCCCAAGTGAAGAGTTAAAGAAGAGTTATGAGAAGAGCTGTGGGAAGCTGTGCCGCCTATTTGAGGAATTTTTGCCTAAAAGTAAAGTAAAGTGTATTGTCCCTGAGCGGAAATTTGTCATTAAAAAACACATAAGGAAACATTTGACCATACATTTAGCAATGACAACACCATAGATTAGTACAGAAACTGCTTGCTTTGTGCTAATTAAAAAGTTGCACCAAACTCGTCTGACAGAGTGAAGTTTGGTATCTGGCAGCATCCAGTGTCAGACAGCACTAATCGATTCTGCACAGGGAGCGTAATGGAGTTCAGTGGAGGTGAGAGCAGTGATGGTGTCCAACTCAAAGAGAAATTCTAATTCCCCTTACGGCCAATTACAAAGCTCCGCGGGATGTGCGTGTCAACGCCCCCACTTCCCAGTTATGGTCCTTTTTGACATGTCAGATCATATGCTAATTCACTCCTTTCCCCGTCCCTTCCCTCATTCTTACCCCCTTGGAGAATTCCTCTGTTGCACTTTCTTCCACTTCTTAAAACTTTTTTCATTTATCAACCAATGTTTTTTTTTCCTCTCTCTTCACTAAAACAAAGCAACTACATATCTGACATAGACATAGAGCTGGATGAACGACCCTAAATCACATTTTTGATAGATTTAAAAATTTAAATTTGCCTCCGGATGTGAATTTAACCCATAAAAATGTTTCAAACATATCAAAGTTTCTTATTTATTTATTTTTTGCATGTAAAAAATGCCTTTGTTTTTTAAAATGGCATAGATGTAACTCGCTGCAGCTTGAGCACACCAACTCACGTACAACTCTGCTTGTATACTATAAATTATGAAGAAAAATGACACGGAAAGCTGCATCTTGCAATTCCATGAAATTAGGTTTGTTCAGTATAAAACCTCAGAAGTCTGAATCCATGTTTTTGAGACTCATTAGTGCCCTTAACTTTGAAGTTGGAAATGCTCAGCCATGGCCAGACTACTTATTTTGTTCATCATATGACTTCCAGCATATAAAAAAACACCATATGGGCATGTTAACAAAGCAAAACACTTGATTTTCACCATGTTTTTTTTTTTTTTTTTAAATTAATTAAGCAAGCTCATTAATTCAAATAAACTCCCTGGAGCCCCTTTTGCAAAATTACATCAACTTAAAAGCCAACAATAATATTTATCTTATTAGTAACACCCCTTAACCATTACTGAACATTTACTATTTAAAATAACAAACACAGATATCCAGTGTGAATCAATTTATTTCAATCGTGACATAGAGGATGGTTGATTGGCCAGCGAGCATCGTTTGTCAGGCTGGATTTTGTTGGCAGGGCTTTCTTCTTTTGGTTTTCTAAAAGCTCTATGAGGTCTATAATAGCGGTTAGTACTTGTCCAAAAGGCATAGAATGAAGGTTTCCATCTGTCTGTGTCACAGTTTGAATAAGCAGCCTTCCATCTTCAATCTCTTTCTTCTCAGCTTCGGTTTCTGTTGTGCTTTTGTAGTGCAAAATCTGTCTTGTGCACAAGTTTCTTCTGCCTCCTTTACATTTTATTAGCTTTGGTCAAGCCTCATTTTTCCCGTTTTGTTCTTCGGTTTATCACCCACCCCCGTTAAGCTCCATACAGACCCCGTGATAATTTCTTTTTTCCGTTTTGTTTATACACTTTGTTGCTCTCTGCTTCACCTCTTTCAGTTCCCACTAAACCCATTTTGCTTCTCTGTTGCCTTTTAATCTTTGTTTGTGATCATATGCTTTGCAATGGATGCTCTCTTCCTTTTTTCTCTTCCTCCCTCCCTTTTTTGTTCATTTTCCTCACATCCCTTGTGTCTGCAGCTAGCCAGATAGCCTGTCCCCCTGTGAACAACCGTTTTATTAAAGACAGCACTTCCTCAGCTCAACTTATATTCTCCAATCATATTAAATTAAGGGAAGTCACCTTACAGTGAACTCCCATCTGTGGAAGACAGACGTTGATATTCAGAACATAGCTGGTAAGTAATTATATTAAAATGGCGGCAGGAATATAGAACACAGCAGGGGTCAAACTACAGTATGTGTTTGTTTTTTTTGCTGCTGGTTGTGCGTACAGACTTATTCTCTGCCAAAGGATGAGATCATGGTATGAATGTGCAGAGATTAATGATATGCATGAATGAATTTTGGCAGTGCTGGAGCTGGGCGAAGAGAAGGACACAGCGGGGGACACAAAGCAGAATGGAGATCTTAATCATGATGATCAAACACAGATGACATCTTTTGAGATCAATCTAAAAGACAGGAGGTTTGTAGCAGCTATTGTGAGCTCCCAGAGGGTTTTTAAGCAGACGTGCCTTATTAATATTTGATTTCATATGTTGGTCGAACATTTGATTTCCATTTACACTGCCTCTTCATCAATTTTTAAATTTTCTTTTCAACTTCTGTACAGGTACCAGGACGACTTCAGGCCCCTGGTGGAGGGGTGTGGCTGCTACTGCTGTCAGAACCACCAGAGGGCGTACCTGCACCACCTGCTGGTGACCAATGAGCTTCTGGCTGGAGTCCTCCTCATGATCCACAACACCTCCCACTATCACGGCTTCTTCGCCGCCCTAAGAGAAGCTCTGGCCGAAGACAAACTGGACCTCCTCAAGAGACGGGTACTCAGGGATGGAGCCCGGCAGACGGAAAGAAAGGAACAAGATGGATAAATGAGAGAGATAGTTGAGGGATTGATCCGAGGGAATGGCGGGGGAGGGCTCTTCTTAACTGGAGTGGCATGGCCAGAGGCAATCATGAGCATTATCTTCCTCTGTCAAGTTGAGTCACAGGCTGAACTGTGATACTGGAGAGACCTTGAGAATGACTCACTTCATGTACTGCTAATGCCATGTGTCTGGTTAAAAGAGGAGGATAAAAGGATGAACAGAGCGGATAGAGAGGACCGTTTGATGTTTGTGCCCAGTGTCACATCAGGAGGACCACTGCCTTTAACGCGTGTGTTGATCTGAGCAGATAGCCAGGAGGCAGAGTGAGGGTTGGGCGGCTGGAGAGAAAAAAAATAAAGAACAGGATGAGAAGTCAGGAGGTATTTGCATAAAAGTAAAACCATGCAGATGGATGGCTGTGAACTATTGATGATGGCTGAATCCCAGTTGTGACCTGATCACAGGTCAGTGGTTGACTAATGTCCTTTAAACTCATTGACGGAGGAGCGCACACCAGAAGGAGAACCGATGAGGGTGATCAATCTCTACAAAGAAAAAAAAAAACCTTCCTAAATGCCACTTTTGTCCCCCCCCCCTTTTTTTATTTTTTATTTTTTAACATGAAATAGGTGATGTGTTAAATCAGATTTCTCAGAGATTGTGTTTTGCTTTTTGTCATTTCATACTTTATGGATCTGCCCTCTTTGTGCTTCAAGAATATTTTTTAATGTTCCACTTGGATACCTCCATTAAAACGAGCTTCTCACATACATGTCGATAGACTTCGTGTAGCCTTCAGTGTCACCGACTAACCATGTTGAGATTGTGCACTGCATTAGCGAAATCCAGAGAGTTTTGAGCTGACGGCTTCGCCATTCCTGCTGCTGAGAAAGGATAAAGATCAGATAAAGATATAGGTCTCTGCTGCCTCCCATGCAGTGATGGAGGGAGGCTTTTTGAAGGTGAGGGGATATAATTGACTGCCAGACTGTACAGATGTCTGTGGGGGACAGCGGACAGAATGAGTGTGTGACAGATTTATGGAACAGCAGTGAGGATTTATTTATTTTATTTTTTTAACATACCACGGGTTACCTTAAATGCATGGAGCACTGTAAAGAAGCAGGTTGCTGTCACCAATAGGTGGGCGGTGTGCATCAATGTTTGAGGAGCAAAGGCATGAAAGGGGTTGGAAAAGATGAAAAGATGGAACTTTATTAATGCCGGTGGGGAAAGTGGGGGAGAGCTAAAACAAGCAGTGACCTCTAGACTGTTTATTTTAAGGTTTAATGGGATGGCAGTAGACAGAAACTATAGCGAAGAAGGTTGTAAAGTCAATCCCCCAGATTAGCAGGTAAAAATAGAAAAGGAAGCGAATGGCTGTTGCCCTCATTTCCCAGGAAAACCTACAGATGCTTTATTCTGTAAGAGTGGAGGTCTTCAGCAGCTAACAAAACAGTGGATTCTTGTCTAAATTAGTATCTGACCATGATTTGCATAAAAGTATGCTCAACAAATCTATCTTGGTAAATAAAGGTACAGCTTAAATAGCAACGTTTCAGCTCGTTGTTGTGATATTTAGGCCCATTTGAAGCTGTTACCGCTGAATGTTGAGTGAATTTTCTCTAATAAGTCTGAACTCCAGCTGATTATTCTTTATGACACACATTTATGAAGCTTATAACCTTCAACCAAATAGTAAAGCGGAACACAAGTGATTGCAATAATGATGAGACACAACACAGTGAAATAGAGTGAAATAGAATATAAATAAGCATAATGCAGCTGTAGGAAGTTTAAACGTAACAGCTGAGAGTTTGCTGCGAGATGGTGTTAATGAAACTGTGAACAGTCTGTACATTAAGAGCATATAGAATACGGAGTTCATTTATAGTAAAGGTAGAGTAAGCGATTCCTGAGAGAGATCGTTGATATTTCAATTCAGCAGCCAAACAACTGCACTCCTTATTTCAGCGCGTCTTCAGAAACATGACAGCTGGTCGAGCAGACCAAAAATAGAGCTGTTTCTACCTTACAAGTGTAGAAATGAATGCCGCAAGATGGTCTGTGTTTGTGAGCGAAGAAACTGAGGCGGTGGCGCTGACATTAGCTTCTCACTTGACATTTCCCCTTTTAAACAGAGGAGCTGTCCTGTGATCATAATGTGCCTGTGCATGGCCACGAATGTTGTCATTTGAAGAGAAAAGTGTTATGTGGAACGGCCTGAGCTGCTTTTTATTTTTTTTCCAATTTACAGAACCAGGGCTGTGGACCAACAGCAGACACACAGTGAGCAGACAGCCAGCAGACCCTGAGGAGATATCTGCTGTATTCGCTGACATAAAGTTGGATTACAGTCACTTACTCAACCTTTGACCAATCCACACAATGCTTGACTCTTTTCTGCAAAATTTACACAATAAATGTGCGATAATAAAACAATTGCATATTTGCACATTCAGGGAGCAACACTAGGATTTATTTGGTTGTGTTTATTTGACACATAAGTTCAGTACACAATCCAGTTATGGTTTCCACTATCTCTTTAGAAAAACATCGTCTAGATGCTGCACCATGTTCACCAGCTAGTTACTGACCTCATCATTCTTCTGTTTGGTGCTGGGCAGCGGGCTTATTGTAGTTTATTTCTTGGAAACAGCAGCTGGAAACAAACTTGGAGAGAGTCAACCGAAAACAGTAAAATTATGGGTTGTAAAATCAAGTCAGTGAGCAGAGAGATGCTGAAACGATTCATAAAGTGGGTGATAACAGTGGATTTTTTCCCCTCATTTTAGTAAAATATTGATTAGTGCAGCTTTAAACTGGCAATATAAAACATTAATTACACACAGTACCCTTTGATTTTGGAATAATAGCTTTCTTTTGAAGTTTGGAAGTATCTACATATTAACTTTATCTCTGTTGTTTGCAACTTGGACAAATTCACTAAAGTGCTTTTATTGTTGGATAAACCTAAAGCAGAGCTAAGAGACAGTCTATTAGCTTCTTTCTGATGCTGCATAATTTTGATTGAGGAATTTTTTGAGGAGAAGGCTAAAGCTGGATGATTGTGTTCAAGTTCATTCTCTGTGTGCCTCTTTCTCTGCCGCGCTCACTCGCATTTGGCACAATTTCCATGTAAAAGAGCTCTGAATGACACAGTCAGCAGGTGGCCCTCATTGCTCATTTCAACCAATTATACAGATGGAGAGGGCCATTCAGGCTGGATCGCTACAAGTTTCTTTCAGTTGCGCCGCTCTCCAGGACAAGTCTGCAGCGTGAGCTGAGCCTCGCATTTATCTGGCTGTTCGCGTGGAAACCCGATTGCTATCTTGCCGTCATGATAGCACTACATGAAAAAAGAATGAGCTCTGCCACTCTCCCGAAACACTGAGGCTTTATGACGAAGTCTCATAAAGCTGGTGGGGTGGGGTGCAGTGGGTGTTATCGTGGAGGAAATGATGGCCGGCGAAGGGGGTTTTATCTGTGAGAGATTGTGTTGTCAGAGCAGAGTGTCCAGAGTCTTTTCACAGGGGGAGAGTGCCAGTATTTGTCACTTTGAGAGGCAAGCATCCGCAAAGCTTAAATCATTGATTTGACAAGGTGTTGCAGTCGCCGCTGCCATGGATGGATTATTGAACATGCCCACTGGGCATCGGCCCAGGGACCACCTGACCCTCAGGGGGGCCTCTGATTGAACATTTCTTATTGGAAAGGCAGTCAAACAACCTCAAGGAGATGCAAAATGACTACACAGAAACACAATCACTACAAGAAGATGCAAAACAGCCACAAGGAGTCGCAAAATGACTAAAAAAAGGGCAGTCTGGGTGTTTTTCCTATTCGAGAGGTGGGAGGTCTTCCACATGTATCTGCCCTGGAGCTTGTCATCTCAGCAGTCTGTCATGGCTCCAGCTTGCTCTTAAAGGACAAGGCTGGTGACAGTTGTTGACCAAACACAGCAATTGTGCATTCAAAACCTTACTTAGCTTATCTCTCTGTGCTACAGAGATGGCACCATTAAGCCACACTGTTATTACAGAAAAACATTGTCACTACAGTCTATACAGAAGCAGCTACAGACCAATAACGTGCCTTGCAATTAGTCAAGAAAAATGAGTACTACATGCCTGCTCTCAGTCTCTTTCTTGGTGTATTTTGTCTTTTGAATACCTGTGTAAGTACAGTTCGATGAATCCCTCACCTCCAGCAGCCTCTTATTGCACATCAGGCGTATATTCATGCTTGTATTGATTAGATTCTGTCCCAGTAATTGTACATTTCTCAAATAGCTGTAGCACAAAATCAAAAAGTTGTGATTAGGTGGCACGGTAATCTAGAGATGCAGCGTGCCTTTTAAGAACTACCCAAAAGAAAATTTTGCTGACAATGAGAAAGGTAATAAGAAAACAGAAATTGGTCGGCCGTATTTTTTAACTACAGACAGGAGCAATAAATCAGCATGGTGCCAGGTTACCTTACAAATTCTCCTTCATTTCACACAATCATAAACAATCACAGCAATGGAGACGACTCCCTGGGCAGCTCCTGACCCTCTCCTCTGTCTCCACGGTAACCCTTGACCACCAGCGTTGTGCTGCCGTGATTCCGGCCCCTCTGCCGGCTATAAATGATTGCTCGCTAAACAGGAGGCCTTATTAGCTCCCTGATGTATTTCAGGATTCATTTATACACATAAATCATCAGCTGACAATGTTCTAAATCAACAGGGACCTTTCTCCCGGCGCCGGACACCCTGAGTGAATATTTTATCACTGCTGTGACTCGGCGCATCATAATGTATAAGTGTAGGTTGAAGCACTTTGCTGAAATATACAGAGAAGGTCATAGTACATTATTGCTCCAGATTCACTGGTTACCATACCTCTTTGACCTTCTGCCCTGGTGTCTTGTGTAGATTTAATGGGATGTGATATGTAGCCACCAAAGGTGGAATAGTTCTCTTTTAAGAAAATGTAGAATTAAGCTGATTTCTGTTTCTGCAACTCTGCACACACTTCTGTAACTTCTTCTAGCCACATACAACATCACAATGTTGGGGTGATATTGCAGCACCGTGCGCAGGCCTCCCTGGATGTCACGCTTCATTATTGGGATTTTTATACTGTAACCAATCCACTTTATTTTCTTGTTGGTTCACAGGAATAGGTTTGACACTATTTTTTTTTCATCTCTTGAGGGTGTGTTGTCACTGCAGTGTTTATTTGCGTACACACACCAGACGTGCTTCAAAGGTAAAAAACTGAGCTATATTTAACCCTCTGAGCTCCAAGCAGTTTCTGGGCACGGAAACAGCAGAATCATCACTAGAAGTAGAAAGAATTCAAAGATGTTTTCCATGCAATATAGCACAGTTATAATTCCATAAATCCTAAAAATGAAGAAAACAAGCTGAATTTCTTTGCTTATTTGTTTTGCCAAAATTGGGAGAAAACATATGCCCACAGGTGTTATCAACACTGAGAGGAGAAATGGTGGCTGTACATATGACAGATACTTTACTGCTTTCATTTGTCATTATTTCGATGTGTCTCCTCTCTACAGCCTCAAATTCAACCAAATAGTCCCTGAACTTTTTGCCATGTGACTATTGGTTGCAGCTGAGTCACTCATGGCTTGTTAGTTGCACTGAGAAATGATGAATTTTTATTTATTTATTTATTTATTTTTACAGAATCTGTTTAGTGTGAACCGTCTATTTATGGCGACTTTTTTTCATGACAGATGTAGAATAAAGGGATTTTCCTGAAGTATC